ATTCCGTTATGCATTATTTATTACGTTTAAATTCATGCATGCCTTCAAAGAATATTTTACTTAAACCACGAATGCTAATAATCAACGCAACAACCTTTACCTCATTTACGTCAACTAAACATTCTCCAAACACAAAATCTAATCCACGCAGCATTCATTATGGAGACAATGCGACATACTTGACCCCGAATGCTTATTATACACAAGACATTAACCCACAAATAAATGAAGTTGTTACCAACCAAGACCATTAACGTATCGTATTCTGATGTAATTTGCATTTTGTCACATTAATTTAGGGGCTGTAAGACCTTGTGTTTACTTTATATAAATCCACGTAATGTTGTAAAGTTACACCGTCTTTGGTTCCTTTTATAGTCTCGCCTGTATCAGAAGACAACAACGCAACACGTGTTCTAGACGACGAAAAAGAATAGAACAAAGTAAAGGAGTATTATAAACATGTACTTCATATAATCAGACATACTATAAAGTGTAGGTCAATTCCAACACGGCTACTCAGAACTCTACAGATGGTTATGTTAATTTTGAGGAATGTAAGCATATGAACGGTGATTTAAAATGACAAACTTTTTGGATTAAAACCGATATCCGTAGTACGTGAACTATATATATATATATATATATACACATCTATATTTTGTACTTTTTCCAGTTTCGACATTAACGTTCCCACTAACGAGATAGACCTTACTTATGTAATTGCAAAAATAGTTTGCGTACCTGTTGATGTTGCAGATCGAAATTAAATTATTCGATCTCTAATTCAATCATTTACCGCGTGGTGAAATTTCAGTGAGTTCAGAGAAATGGACAGATAATGGTAGTTTAAGTATGATCGATTTCGAAATGAAAAGTTTACAAGATAGCGGTCCTGTCTACTGGTTGTGCGATCCCTTACATCGATATATGGGTCTGCCTAGATACCGGACAGGTCGGCGTAATGTGGACAGAGTATATCGAGGACAACATTAAAGAGATAAGGGTACTTAGGTTTGGGTAAGGCCACGGGTAACATGACGTAAGCAAACAGCATTCGAGGACATGTTAGTAAGAGTAACTGGGTTTGTGACATTTATCATCAAATCTTACTGAAAGTAAAATATATCTGGGTAATCTTGGATTATAGTTTAATAGTCATCTCATGGACTATGGCTAATGTACGATTATCCTACACCATATCTAAATCAAATTAAAGTAATTATTAACAAGATGATTTTGCTGTTTCGTTCTATTTTCTAGTCCGTACATTTTTGTGAGTATACTTTAAACAGTCGTTGACAATCAGCTATTTTACACTACTATTTCACACACCACGTAGTCTTACCCGGTATAGAAAATGCTCAAATGTATCGGTGATGTTTTGTATCTAAATTGAAATGAGGCTGATCTGCTGGTTTTTTGCAGATATAATTGTATGCTGACTAAGATCAGATATGGACTACCAGGGAGGTAACTACAGGCACAATCCGCTAAAACTTACCAGTTATAGCAAGATCTAAAATGTTGGTTGGTCGCAGTTTACAACAAAAAATTCGGAGCGAGCGATTATAGTCAAAGTTATGGTGAAATGGACCGAAATCGTGATAAATATTGAAATATGTTGCGACCATGGTAACGTCTCTATTGGACTGACGTCACTAAGGTTCGGTGACTGCCATTTGTCATTTCATTATTTCGAGGGAAATGGGCTATAATTGTCGTCTTTTTGTAGAGACAGAACAAAATAATCTCACTCCACGACGCGAAATGGCGATTTTCTAATTATCATTCATTTGCAGCGAACGCGGTCTTTTTTCTGTGAAATATGTGGAAACGGAATATAGAGAATGTTAAGGACAAACTATGCGCGTGTTACACGAGGTACATGATTGAGTGGGATGGAGTTACTGAATCACGGATCAGGATGTTAAAATCATGGTTGGGAACATTTTGAAATAATGAATGAGTATATATTTTTTTCGAACCCATTAGCCATATCAGCCAATTATAATTGAGCACTCAACCAGGATATAAGTGTAAAACAATGGTATATCCTACCATTGTTGTCGGAATACCATTACCCGTGTATATGTTGCTTCTACAAATTTGTCTTGTCACGTGTGTATATATATATCACTGTATCTATTACCACTACATGTGATTGTGTTAAAGCTATAGATGCACCTTACCACAACACGTGTATCTAATGTAACTGTAAGTGAATCTTACCACAACACGTATCTAATGAAGCTGTAAGTGAATCTTGCCACAACACGTGTATCTAATGAAGCTGTAAGTGAATCTTACCACAACACGTGTATCTAATGAAACTGTAAGTGAATCTTACCACAACACGTGTATCTAATGAAACTGTAAGTGAATCTTACCACAACACGTGTATCTAATGAAGCTGTAAGTGAATCTTACCACAACACGTATCTAATGAAGCTGTAAGTGAATCTTACCACAACACGTGTATCTAATGAAACTTAGTGAATCTTACCACAACACGTGTATCTAATGAAGCTGTAAGTGAATCTTACCACAACACGTGTATCTAATGAAGCTGTAAGTGAATCTTACCACAACACGTGTATCTAATGAAGCTGTAAGTGAATCTTACCACAACACGTGTATCTAATGAAACTTAGTGAATCTTACCACAACACGTGTATCTATTATCTTTGTGTATAAATATTACCACTACACATGTATCTATTGAAGTTGTAAGTGCGACTTACCACTATACGTGTATCGACTGAAGCTTTATGTTTTTTACCACTCTACGTGTATCTATTGAAGCTATGCGTGTATTCACCACTTTATGTGTATCTATTGAAGCTATGTGTGTATTTATCACTATACGTGTATCTATTGAAGCTATACGTGTGTTTACCACTATACGTGTATCTATTGAAGATATGCGTGTATTTACCACTATACGTGTATCGAAGTTATGCGTGTATTTATCACTATGCGTATAACTATTGAACTTATGCGTGTATTTACCACTATACGTGTATCTACTGAAGCTATACGTGCATTTACCACTATACGTGTCTATAAATTGTATCTTTTACATCTAGACACGTGTATTTATTACCGTAACATATGCATTATCATTGTTTACACAAATGTGTCGAAGTTATCTCCTACTTGTATGATAATGAGCTTTTCCATAGAAAAGATCTAGCCGAGACATTTAAGTGCTCTATGCTTTTCACGCCAGACGTGAGGTATAGGTACGAACAGGTTTGTCTTCTTTATTTCCTTGGGTTTTGTTTAACTCTAAATCAGCCACCTACCCGCCAGTTGTAAACGTGTGTATGCATGGAATACGATCGATAATCTACATGGATGAATAAAACATGACAACACAAGATACACAAATGATGTGTACTACGTCATAAAGTCAATTTTTGAAATATTGTCACCTTCAATTATTTCTCCTGGCCCCCCTCCGATTCCGAAAATAAGAAAATATAAAACTCGCGGCAGTTTTTGTGCGAGATAATCTATCGCAAGTTCATGTGATTGGGTGTCAAGGTCACCGATCTTTAAATCCCAGTGATTATAGAATAGCTGTCTATTATATGTTTAATACGTTAACACGCGTAGTTTGTTTTGTCAATATGTCCAATCTATGTTTTAAGATTCAAGCAAGTGTTCACAAGTCAAAACAGTGTTCGTTAGGTATATGTGTCTTACATTGGGTTCAAAGGTTCAAATGTCATGGGCATTGGTAGCAGTTCGTGACTAATCATTATTACATGGTTATGAATATGGAGTACAAAGACTCCAAAACCTTTATTGTTGTTGGTTAACAACAAATAATGTATTCCTATTACCTTACACGTATGTGCCAGCAGCATTAGTTAGGTGATTAATACAGGTTTATAGAAGCGTGGGTGTTGAATACCTGGTAAAACCTTCACGGATGTATTGGTCAATATAGACGGGTGTTAAAATGTCGAGTTATGGTAATCATACACTTTTAAATACCCACTTACATAGCCATGGGTCAAGTCGTTCGTAATCAAATATTTGATGGTGATGGCACACGTACTCTCGATTGGAGATTACGTGGACAGTCCTCGAGGGTGTCGTTTTAACTGTTATTGTCTCCGTAATACACAAAAATAACGATCATAACACAACACCTTTGGTTTATGTAGGTTCGTTAGAGTTCAGTGCAAACCCCTGTATTACTGTTTACATACGAAATTGAATACAACACACTTGTACTGAAGTCTTGGCCGTTAAAAACAGGCAGTAGAACAAGTTTTATAAATATAGATTTTTACATTGTATAATGGACATGATTCAACGTTCTCCACCCGTGATCATGCCGACACGCTCCAATTGTACGATTCTTGGTGATGTATTTACGGTACATGAAAACCACATATGCACTAAACTATAAAGGATTGAAAAGTATTGGTGGCGTTCTTCATGTATCCGATTTCGGCCAAGATCTGGTTCACAAGACAGGAAAATACTATACTGCGAAGTCAAAAAATACAATGTGATATCAATATCCGTCTTTATGACCGTATATATAGGAACATAGTACATTAATTACACTGATTTCTTTTTTCAAAGTTAATATATTTACTATGTCGGGAGGGGGCTGGTGTTCACTAATGTACGTTGATGAGATACTATGTTGGTAGGGGTTGGAGTACATCAGTGTACGTAGTTGAATACTTACGGTATTGGGAGGGGGTTACTGTTCATCAGTGTAAATGTGCAGATACCTACTTTACTGGGGAGGGGGGGTGGTTGTTCACCAGTATACATGGTTAAGATACCTACTACACTGTGAGGGTGGGGGTGGGGTGGGGGGAGGTAATCACCAGTGTCCGTTAAGATACTTACTATATTGGGGTTGATGTTCATATGATTAAAATACCTACTACACTGTGTGTAGGTGGGGGGATGGGGGTGGGGGTGGGGGTGGGGGGTTGTTCACCAGTGTACATTGTTAAGATACTTACTATGTTGGGAGGGTAGTGATGTTTTTCGTGAAGCAGCTGGTTACCCTTCATCAGTAACTGAGCGTCGATAGGCCCTTTGATGTGGAGAGCGTCTTTGCCGAACTGTGGGCCGGACTGGTCAGGCGACGTGACTTTTTGCGTTTTTGGTACAGAAACGGCCCTTTGGACCTCAACAGCCTGCATCCCGTAACTGGGGATACGTAATGTTCCAGCTTCCCGGACCTCGGGCTTCAACTTTTTAGACATTTTCTGGTAACCCTTTTGGGCATCCATTGCGTTTTTAATCCCGAGGGCCCCTGGTCCCAACTTTGGTGCTCCGATCCTGGGAGCATGGGTGTTACAATACACCTCCTTGTCTCCTGAATCTGTGGCATTGGACCAGTAACTCCGGATGTTTAGAAACTGGCCACACACGAAACATTTGAAACAATTTTTATGAAACACTACATCGTGAACGGGACCAATTTTCTCTTGCATGTAGACCTTTCTGCTGCATCTATAGCAGTCGTTGGAACTGTCAGGGAGGGGTCGGAACAGAGACGAGAGACTCTGGTACCCTCTCTCCGCAGCACGCCTGTCGTCGGAGGCAGTCGCCATTATTTCTTATCTAAACAAATCGTATTCACAAATACACAAGCAATATGTGGGACTATAATCCTAATGTAGATTCACATGTATATTTCTGTACGTCGTAAAGCACTGCTTTCATATACACTAAGACACCAGACCATACTTTGGAAGACTCTCTTCTTTCCGAACTCTAGTATAAACAGTACTACATATAGCTCTATACACATTTACGTAGCGTTCTACCTGAACGACGGTCTCCCTACCTTCGTAATGTTCCCACAGGTAAATTGCAAAGTCAATACACACAGGTATGTAGAGTTCCCGGGATGTGGACCTAATTTAAAATGCTGCTGATAGTAATATACATATATAAGGCAACTTACAACCTCACATGTGACCAGTGTGTCCACTATCCTCCATTTTCTGACTGTGAAATCCTTTTTTTCACCTGGGCGAGAAATCTATGCACCGGCTCATCGGGCGATTCCATTTATAGACAGTACACAGGTAGAGCGGAGTCAGTGAAGCGCGTCAGCACAATTACAACGAATACACGCTGTGCAGCTACTGTGGCCGTAAGTGGCGGTCAGTCAAGTAGGAAAGTTAGCTCAACAAGCAGGTCGCCCACTACCGTAAAACCAGTGATTCATTCAATTATGACGATATTATTATCCAGCTAATAGTCGCCAGAGATAAGCCCATTTATAGGACACAGCTGATTGATTTATATCTATATCCGGACCTGAGGTAATGACAATAAATAGGGTATCTATATCACGTTTTATTTCATACCTGACCTCCTATCTACGGTTAATCGATGTAGTTTATATTTAGATGAGTGTTTAATTGTAATAGATAATAGTATATTCAACGGATAATTATATTAAGCATAATACCAGATACTCTGAACACAGCTTCCTCTGTCCCTAACACCGACCTTTGAACAGTTTAAAAAGACGGATGGATATCGAATTTCCAACATGTTTTGCTTTTACATAAATTGTGAGTGTATTATGATTGTAACAACACTTTTCGATCAATGGCGAGTTATATTTATCACAAATTATTTTGGTTTCATTTTTGTTCTCCTTAACGAAGTTTCTCTCGGTTATGAACATCTCTAAAACGAAGACCAAATATACATAATTTCATATTTTCAGTTATACAAGAAGTTTTAAATGCCAATACGTGTTGAGAAGATTTGTAAATAAGTAAATATAGTTCGATTCTTTGTAACGCGATTCAAGGTATCTTCAGTCAATTTAAGACTTACACTAGTACGTCAAGATTTCAATTAAAAATTATGATAACACAGGAAATAATCTCGTATCAAAAATCAAATTGATAAACGTGTTATATATATATTATCTTGTTAGTAAGTTTTACAAGTAGAAAAAGGGAGGAGGTCATTTTTGTGAGTCTGGTATTATTTAAAACTCATTTATATTATGGACCACAAATATTGCGCATGATAGCAAACATGTCTTTACGAAATTTTGTGTTAGAAATTAATTATGCAAGTGTTAATTTAATTCAATTGGCGAGAAAATGATGCGAAATAACAGAGAATGTTAAAAACGACACTGACCACAAGGACAGGGCGCTTGTGTTATGGTGCGATACCGATAGAAGTGTTGATAAAATCACATCCTACATGGTGCTGGTCATAAGATGTCACCAGATGTACTTTTGACAGAAGTGATAAATGTTTTTAGTATCTTACCAAAAACATGGCGTTACATATTTTGTGGTTAGTACATCCTACCCCATCCCCCAACCCCTTAACACCCACCCCTCAGACCCCAAATATGGTTTTTAATGTTTCTTGTCAACAATTTTGATTTTCCTCCGACGCTTTCATGATTACTGCTGTATAACGAATTTCTTAAATCATTATTTTGCTGTATCTAATTCTAACTTTCTTATGGAACAGTCACTCCCGAGCCTTTTGTATTCTCTTAGGTACAAACAGCGACGTCCGGATAAACACGTTACGTAGAAGTAGGGGCCGGCAGGTGGCTGACCATCACTGGCCATCACTGGGGAATGTGAGGTCTCATAAAAATGTAACAATGTCCATCTTGTTACATTCAAGTGGTCAGCTAAAACGTATAAACAGACATTATGTGACACGTCAGTTGACAATTTCTGCATTCCGATAGCTGACCATGACAAGCCCGACGTAATTCCTGTCGTCCGGTCACTCTGGCCTGGCTATGGTCATTCAGGTCTTCGGTTTCTCCAACTGTTGTTTATGTTAATGTATTTCGTAAGCTGTCTGTGATATCACGTGATTGCATGATGCATCTTACTAGGATGTTCAGGAGAAATGTTGACACTATGACATTGAACCTTCAAGGTCACTACTTTATCCGTAACTTTTATTTGGACATTTTAAGTTGTGAAGCGGATGTTTAGGATGACACGTCTGTCATTCCAGTTTTTATCTACAAAGAAATCTGCTCTGCTGAAATCAATGTGTGTACACCCAGCTCAGAAAGCATGCTTCCAAGATTTGGGTAGCCCGACCGGAATGTGTGTCCTTACTTATCACCGATGTTTGGCCCGAACCCTCACCAAGACACATAAAACTTTTGTCCAAACTCTACGCAAAACTCAGTGTTTTAGGTTTAGATACACAACACAATATGTCTATAACAAAGTTAGATATCGGGACAGAGATAAAAAAGTGTCCCGAGGCCGAAATTGACACCATGTGTCAACGTGACCAGAAATCTCACACCTCGCTCCCATGGCTCTGTTCATAATAGTTATACACAGGCGCGTGTAACACTGTTCCTGGGGAAGCACAAGGACATTTAACAATGTTTCTGGACGAAGGGACTTGTGTACCATCGATAAGTTATAGTAAACATGATGGTATACTACCCAGAAACATCTTAGATGTACCCGTGGTTTAATGTACTCACTCACCATTAAAATTAAAATGTATTTCAGTTTAAAGAAATCTTACGCACTTAAAATCAATATTTAGGTCGCCGTTACTATAAATAGAATCATCTAGGTTCGTGCTTAGCCGGACGCATTTTGTCAACAAGGTGTTACATTTAAATCATTTGACAAATCTTGTTATATAGCTCTTCTATCTGACATATATTTTTTTAGATGCAAAGTGGGAGGAGGGGGTCTCTGTCCTGGTACGCAATATGAACAGCACAAGAGTATTGGACTGTATAAGATGACATGACGTAACTGTAGGTGGCGGGGAGGGTGTGAGACTGTACGATGTCCGAAAGCTTCCCAACACGGTTGTATATATCGTATGAATCTACAGCATAAGGTCCACGATTTGTTTATATTTTATTACACAGGTGTGTTTACCTAGTCTGAAGATAAAGACGTCAATTTAATCCCCAATGGACGACCTGTGATGTCCAATATCTCCTTTTATTCAAGCCCGACGATTCTGTTTGTATTGGAGTAAATAGTTCGAAGAATAAGTGGATTAACGTGCCTTTGGTCACAACAGTTCCGCAGGTTCGCAGTAATGCTCTAAGCAGGGACGTATATATCATCGTTAATATACGTCCCTGCTCTAAGGTTTCACTCAAACTTTTGCAAGCTTACATGGAATTTAAGTCTGTAATTCTTATTAAGTTCATAATCTAAATGTGATTTAAAGAAATCAATTTAATTAGATGCATACCTCGTGAATAGCTTAAAATAAAGCAGCAACGTCTCTTATGTTATATCCAATATCGATTTTATGTGACAGAACCAAGTTTTAAAGCTGACAATATGTGATCCATGTTACTACCGGAAATGGTTTACGATGATAACACACGCATCATGGGACACCATACCCGAGTGAAGCCTGGTTAGCTTGACGCAGTTCCATAGCAAACATTACACGTGTTATAATCTGCGGCGACGTTTATTTGAGACGACATAAGCACGTGTTCCCAATTACATACGCCAATGATGGTTTATTCCGACATGATATAGGTGATTCCAATAACAGAAAAAATAAATAGACTTAGTAGTGTCGATGTACGTACATACATGTATGTTTGGGTAATATTATTTTCAGGGGAGATAACTTATCATTTGCTAAATTCTACTGATATGATGTAATGATTAAGATTGTCAAGGAGTCATCAAAAACAACTAGATTAAATGTTCATACCGGTACAGATTGGGGATTAAACCGCCACAAAACTCCCAGGAAATTACAAGTGATTAGTGATTTATTGAAGGCATTGATTAAGTGGTGATTCAGAAATGTTTATCTGATTAAAACTACAATGTAAGCCATTGACCACTCAAGTTGACATTTTATAACATTACATTGCTGAGGTTTGTCGTAACATAGCATAGTACCTATTGTTAACCCAGAATGACATGACTACACTTACTCTGTCTAAACAAAGTATATGTCTACTCTTCCCCTGTCTAAACAAAGTATATGTCTACACTTACTCTGTCTAAACAAAGTATATGTCTACTCTTCCCCTGTCTAAACATAGTATATTGCCTATTGTTAACCCAGAATGACATGTCTACACTTACCCTGTCTAAACAAAGCATATGTCTACACTTACTCTGTCTAAACAAAGTATATGTCTACTCTTCCCCTGTCTAAACATAGTATATTGCCTATTGTTAAGCCAAAATGACATGTCTACACTAACCCTGTCTAAGCATGTGTATTACCAATTGTTAAACCAGAATGACGTGTCTACACTTCCTCTGTCTAAACATAGTATATTGCCTATTGTTAAGCCAGACTGACATGTCTACATTTTATCTGTCTAAACATAGTATATTGCCTATTGTTAAGCCGGACTGACGTGTCTACACTAACCCTGTCTAAACAAAGTAGATGTCTACTCTCCCCGTCTAACCATAGCATATGTCTGCTCTTGCCCTGTCTAAACATGGATATTACATATTGTTAACCCAGACTGACATGTCTACACTTCTCCTGTCTAAACATAGCATATAAACCTGTTCTTAACCTAGACTGACGTGTCTATTCGATTTTACCTTCTATTTTGGCCCAAGCTCAGTTTATTACACTGGTGTCTAACTATATCAACATATTCTTTACCAAAGAGTTCTTGCGTAATGCCGAGAACGGCTATCTAGATAGATAGAGGTATCAATGAGAACTACTGTACAAGATCCGATAATTACATAATTACAGCACATTCCTGCTGAGGAGGACAGACACAGGAGACACGGACACAGACACTGAAATGTAGGCTAACGAGAGAAAATGTAAGATTTTGTTGCCTAGGACCTCTCTTATACACCAGGCTTCAGGTGAAGATTTCTTCAGATAGTTGACCTTTAAAAAATCCGTCTGAATGTATTGTGGTTGTCTTTTAATGTCGAGTTCGGTTCCTTCCTGTGTAACCTGTAAATTTAGGATTAATATAACCGGTATCATACTTCGATAGTACATGTCTCTCTCAGTTCAAATTTTCTTCTCTTTTGATGTATATGAACCTGACCTCGTCTTTCTAGATATACTGGTATTTAACAGTAATATGTCTAGAAAATCTGCGCCACACTTCCATATCCTTGTCCGATGCTTACTGAAAGCAAACATTTGGATGCCGCAGAACCTGACATCATATTTATTTGATAATTGTTTTAGACAAAAATTGTACTAGTATGTTTGACTGGTCTATTCTTTTTGTTTGTCGTTAGAAATGTACATTTATCGATGTAAAATGCAACAAACTGATATGAATTGAAAAAAAAATGTACCCGATGCCTGCGCGACATATTTCCCAGTTTGTTACAAAGACAGCGAAATCTATGACGATTAAGACTATGATAAATATCAAATAACTGGAAAGTAGAGTTAAAACGATCGTTAAAGCAGCTTATAGAACACAGCTGCTGTCCGACCTTAGTCATAATTTTAGGTCTTTTTTTTTCACAGTATTACTTGTTTACTTTCTCCTTTTCAACGAATAATATCGTGTATCAAGTTCTTGTTTATTTTGAAAGGAACCTACAGCAGTATTTTGTAATTAATTAATTAATCAATCAATGAATTAAATGATGTATCTAATATAAGACAAGTCGACAAAATACGATCGCCAACCTAATGTGAAATTATATGTCATAAACCAGCATAGACTACGGTATATTTTGTTTAAGAGATAAAACCTGGGGATATAACAGTACATACGTATGTACAGTACTCTGATCAGTGATTCACTAGCATTTATCAGAAGCCAAAGTTCGACCCACGACAGTCTCGTCACATCTTTATCTGTCAACGACTGCAATTCTTTACAACATGGCTGCTGATCAAACGACTCGGCTCTCCCAGACTAACAAATGTGATTGATCGCCAGGTAAGATTTGAAATCCTACATAAGTAACATTTACAGAAAAACATGTAGATCTGTCATCAAAATATTTTTATACAGGTATGCACTTCTGTACTATACCGGTACAGGCTGAAAGGTCAAAGGTCATCGTGTTAATATTTCACATCTTCCTTCTGTGTGATGTTTGTTTATCATTAATATAGCCGATTGATTTTTAACATAAAAGTGACAGAAAACCTGAAACTAGACGTAGTCCCTTGAAATCTGTACAATTAACTGTTAAACGCACGAACACACTACACAGCATGCTTAAACATGTATGAACCACAGGGACTTGAGAAACCCATTTTAATGATCTCACAATAGAGTATCACTTGTTCGTGAATAACACCTCAAACGTTCCGAGATCCCGGGGGTGTGGACTTCCCGTTTTATACCGTTGAAGTACATTTTTAGCGATATTTTATTTTCATCCCTAGATGGGACATACACAAAAAGAGTGACGCTGCGATACACATGTACTACAGTGGTGTTTGTCATAAATTTGTACATATAGTTTACATACAGATTAAATTTCCATGCATGATTCGTACATGCAGGAGAATAAATAAACGCAGCGAAAATTCGTCTCTTATTATACAGTGTTGTCATACTGCATATATGTTAGCGATGAAGTTAAGTGTATTATATTAATTGGTGGCCACATACAACCCAAGTTAATTCTAATTAATTTCTTTTTAATTTCAGATGTTTATTTATGAAGAATCTCTAATTCTAGTGTGTTGGTATCCTGATCGTTATTGACCAGTTCATCTATTCTATCTGGGGGCCACGAGAGTAATTGGGTAACCCGTCCACTTCAACACCATTCCATCATGATTGATATAAACCTTAACAACATCACATCTTACTTTACACTCAACAACACCTACATCGCCGTGGGATTGCTGACGTCATGCATGTCCCTCTGCGGTTGCGCATTGATACTTGGAACATATCTTTGTTTTCGGAATTTACGTGGAACTGGTAGAAAGATACTAGTATATATCACCATATGCAATATTGGTGCTTGTGTGGGACATATAATAGGTGCCGCCACTATCATCGGGTATGACGAGAAAACAGCATTCGTTTCATTTACACCGTGTGCTGTTTCAAGTGCATTCACCATATGTTTCCGCCTTGGAAGTTACCTTTGGACATGCGCGTTAGGTCTTTTCCTGTGCGTTAGCATGTCGTGGAAACGAATGCAATTCGGCAAAGCCTTGATGGGACCGTTCCATTTGGTCTGTTGGAGTATACCAAGTATGATACTGTTACACCATAAGCTAAAGCACTAGAATTCCCTTTCCTTTTACTTTGGGCCACAGACGGAGTATACTGGAATGCAAAAATAATTTTCGGCATGCAAAATTCCATTTCGCTCGGAATATTGCATTGTATATTTTGTGTATTAAATCATGAGTTATTCATGAGTACACGAATCCCCCAGTGTTTAATTCTTCACTGCGCTGAAATTTATTATGAATTCGAGTATCATCTCTGCATGCCCTCCTCCCACACCCTTACCTCCACAAAAATGGCGAACACGCCAAAGCATCTACTGCGTTCTTTGCTTACACTGGTCATAAGGAGAACTGACGAGATACATTATGTCATTCTGTTTTACATAGAAAGCCTTCAATGTTACGTTCATTAAATAATTACCTATAAAGTTACATTCCATTACGTTTCACACTCTTTCGTTAGACTTCACATCGTTTACGTAATTACTGTCCACTGCTTACTGACGCAACAACATTCACTCCCACACAGGCAGAACCACGTCACAATTTTCAGAAGTTGTCCGACCCACTGCCGTCCATACTTCACCGCTGGACATCCCTAGTTATACCTTTCCTACCACAAGAACCTTCGTATTGGTTACAGTATGTATGCATAGACCTACCCTAATGTAGTTATCACCTGGCGTAGAGAGATGGCAGTTTTACCTAACACTTGTTGCATATAGGATCGCATTAGAACCGATCAACATTCTATGAAACTACTCCACCTTTTCCTTGATGCATCCATCTGAAGTTACAACGATACACAGATAGGACATCAACCAGGTTAAGATTGAGCTTGGTGGATACCGTTAGAATGGTATATGAATTTTCTGCAATAATTTTATATGGACAAACGTACGTATTACTGTAGTTGCGTTCTTATTGCCTGAGCGACCCTGTGTGTAGGGTACATAAAAACTGTGGCTTCGTAAGAGGCGACTTCGTTTTGGAGTGTATTGTTTCTCTTCTTTCGAAACCACTAATATTTTTAAGTGTCTTTCCTGACATTGTTTCGCGTTTGACCTTTAATCGAGCGTTGGCTCATGTGAGAAAAGTCTTATATCCTTGGTCAAAACTTGTCAAGGGTCCTTAAAATGGTAGTTACTACTCGAGGATTGCTTAACGTTCAACATTGTGGTATTGTAACGAAGTCATTATAATGTGACCCGTCAGAGTGTCCTGCTGAGTGCTTTTTGCAGTATACATTAGCATAGACTATCACAAACTTTCGTCCCTGTGATCCACATTTCATAAAAGATATATGGCGCGTAACCGCCATATTCGACCCAAATGTTACCAACAATAAAATAAAAAAAAAAACACGATTTTTCTATTTCAATGAATTTGGATAGGTAGTTTCAATTAGATATATACAGATACCAATCATGAGAAACAATATCCTGGAATGTGTCGTGTGCTATATTTTTTTTACAGATTGTCAAAGTTGCTACCTGGAGAAATACGCACTAAAACATGGATGTTTCCCCGACGTCAAATCCTATTTTGACTCAAAGTGCACACATGTACCAACTTTCAGGTAGCTGAACCTAATCCAGTGTTATCAAATGCAACTTAAATCACATCCTTGAAAATCGGTACAAGCGTGCGCTGATACCGAAAAGCTGAAAAATTATATCGGACCAAAATTGTCAATTGATTATGACTGCAGCATTGAATTTACCAATAAAATTTCAATTAGTTTTACATCTGTGCGAACAGAGATGGCAAGACGTTACTAACACGTTAGTAGAATTTTCATGAAGTTTTAAGTGCGATTTCGGCGATTTTTCAATAACGTTTTTAACAAAATAATTCTCGCGGGTAGCGTCATTTAATGCAATTATTCACAATAAGATTGCGGCAATTACTGACCATGGTAGCTTTGGTTATACTGAATACAGCCATTGAATTACATGATAATGCTAGTGACATAGTATCGTACTTCATAGTGTTGGAGACATGATATAATGTCATCTCAATGTTCAATGTATCTTCAGAATTACAAAAGGTCACATATTGAATATATCTTTTGGTTTGTCTTTCCCTGCACATTTCCCAGCTTTAATCATACTGTCACCAACGACTTACCCATAAACAGATCACTTTCCGGACGTACATGTTCTATATTTAGACACGGTGACTCAGAATGCACGTTTACCTGTCATCATTAGTCATGTATTTTTAGAACGACCAAGCCGATGAACTGAAAAAGGTGCTCTGTCAGGTTAAAGCGCCATACCTCTTTAATTTTGGCTAGATTAATACATTTGTTTTTGCATTTCGATACCGTAATTTTCAACAGATTTTTTGCAGGAATCGAAATATTTTCATATCATATTAAGCATAACAAATTTCTGATTTGTCTTAAGCAAGTTTGGAGGCAAATCAATCTTGAGAAACTAGCTTCTAATTCAACAATGAGTTGTTCATTCTTTACAAGAGGTATGCTGGATATGTTTTTAAAAGCAAATATGTTACCTTACAATTAGTATATCATTTCTGATAACTTGTAGTTGGTATAACGATTGCGGTCCTGGTGTCAGATGTAGTTGGGTTCGATTCCCAACCTTTGACCAATCAAAACCGTCCTCCCTGGTGCTGGATCGACCACCATGCCCCGGATTACGTCACGTGGGCTTTCCTGACAGGTCCAGGATGGCAGATGGGTACTATTGTTGTGTGTGCCTGTTGCTACACCGTTTTGCAATGGCACTCACTGGTCAAGGTAAGTGAACGCTGAGGTCAAACATCAGTGGAGAAGGAAATTCCTTTCGTTCGGCCCTTGACGACGACGAACACTGAAGTGATTGATGTAGGATTTAGAAATGTTCGTTTTCCACCTTTGAGAAGAAAAGCACCGTGAAAATTAGCAATACTACACCATCTGTCTCGCAAGGCATTGAGGTTTGGAGAGGTATATAATCATCGTACCTCATTTAAGCTATATTATTCTAACTAAGCGAAATGTTTTTGGTAAAAGCGTAACCCTTTCCTTCTTAAAGTGGTCGGCAGGTTTGAGAGAGTTAATGGTCCTGACTCGATTGCAGAAGCCGCCGCATGCTGAGGATGTTGGCGAGTCGACAGAGAACCTGTTCAGCATCATCACGTCTGCCAACTCCCGCCTTCGCCAAATTCTCATCGTTTTCATCCTCCTTCAAGTCTGGGGTACTTGGAGTTTTCTAGTGTCCCTGCACAGCCCCAGTCCTGTCTGGCTCGTCTTTCTTCAGGTACCATTCTGCATACTATTATCAACTCCCAAAACAGCCTTACTCGTGGATATCTAACCTTGTATATATGTATATATATATATATATATATATATTTGTTTTGTTTACATATCTTGTGACGCCCTTCGGTTTGCTAAAATGTCTTTGTATTCCAATAACCCAACCAGAAAATCTTCTACTTGTCGGTATGATTGTGTACATTTTTCATTTAAATGCATGCTAGGCATCGCTGTAGAAATGGTTCTCTTTAAGATTTTACGCTGGTTTTGTTTTCTTTCGGACTAGCTTCCAAGACTCACAATTTCAACTAAAAGGATGTATATTAATAAGAAGACTTTTGTTTTTTTCAGGAGATTGGAAACCACAGCCAGGGACTGGCTAATGCCATTATCTTTTGTATATATACCACTGCCGTCAGGACGAAACTGGCGCCAAAATTTAAGACTTGTTGCTGTTGCTGCTGCAGACTTTGTCCCATCACTTGCAAGAAATCTACAATGAGGATCCCCGTGGAGATGGCAGCACTGGGCTCACAGGGACCAGAGGGAGAAGAATTAATGAGAAGCACAGGAGAGGATGAAATATAGGGATTTTTCTCTTTTTGAGTAACTAAAAACGTTTTCTCCATAGAAGCTGCAATAACGCATTGATATATAGTTTGAAGCTGCCGGGTCAACATACATTGTAATTACATTACAATTGTCCTTGTGTTGGAATTTATGTTTGTTTTACAAGCGACGTCAACCTGAATATAAAAATAACAACCCAATATTTCCATAACAATGTTGATTTCATGTCTGATTCCTCCTCTTCGAAGACTCGTGTTTTCTTATTGCTCAGATACCATTAAAATCTCGTTGCAACACTTTATATTTTTTTCTGTTTCTTGTCTTGCCCTTTCAAAGACAGCCTATAAAACGCCGATTTGGATTTTACTCCTGTCCGTATTTTAGAGTATATACTTATTTTCAACCAAAACATTTTCTCGTTTGTAAATGTATCGATTTTGATGCTGGACACGCCTGTCTCTATGTTGTAGAAAACGAGATTGATCAAGCATTACATATCTTCTTTTTTCCTGTGGCGCTATTTCGAGGCATAGTTTGTGAAGATTAAAATTCCTTTGCAAATTGATAAGCTCAATGAAAAAAATGGGAAAATAGGAAGAGCTTTGAGATGCCCTTGCCTGCGAGTTTGACTCGTGAGCAATATCGTTAGTGACCAAGTGAAATCTCTCGAATGGTACAAATTAAATCTCACAGGCATAAGAGAGTGGATCGCAACATTTTGAAGAGTTTTACCATCAGACATCCTGGAGCATTTATTGTCGACAGAATTATTACGTTTCAGCATAGGCGAATTGCTTGTGTTTCATGTTTTTAGATGCCTATTAAATCCATGCAAGTGTAGTTAAGCAAGAGTATATCAACATGTCTAAAGAATTTTATTTCAAACTTAAAAAAATAAAGACTGAAATAAGCATTCATACAAAGTCTCCTGAAAAACAAAACTAAGGAGAACACGGACATTTTTTACCGGAAGTGTAATCGTTCTCTGCCTCACCGACGACATCCGCAGATATACAGAAAAAGTAGTATCACATTATCAAACGAGAACGAACAAGGATTAACATCAATTGAAACCTCCAGACATAACAATTTCTCCTATATACATTGAGCATATTTCATTTCATAAATATTTCCAACTGAGATCATGATGGAGACTATACCTTACCAGAATTTATCATCGGTCTGTATATCTAGAAACCCTGTGGCGAGTTATCTGTGATATGTCGCTGTCTTTCACGGAAATCCTGACACGAGACCAAGCCCTTCATATCGAATCAACTGGCACATGTTAATACCACAAGTGGAAGAAGCAGTGATATATATTACCACATAGAAATGGAAAATTCACGTCAGGAAATCCGAAATTGTCACACTTATACAATTTGATGCCGAAATGTCCTTGTTGGTTTCGTTTTGAAGACCGACTGAAGTGGCTAACGTAGAAAGGATTTTCTGTCTCCTTGTTCTCTAATTCTGGTGACATAATGAATTTCTTGTTATAAAAAGGATGTGAATATTTCTGAACGTAAAATTTAAGGGTTTTGGCAAGTTTGTCAACTACAGGAGAAAAGTTTTATATATTCCTATATAGGCCTTAGATTCTTGTAATCAAAGGTTTGCTGTTCGACAATGGCAAATAACGTGTGGGTAAGTTTTGAGTTTTCAGTGAAAAGATTATAGAACCAAAGTGAATAGTACCTTGAAATACTAAATCATACAGTACACTAATGTATTAAAGTGCCTTATAGACTGTTTCGTCCTTATAGGTCTAGTCAGTGATGCTAATGACCTAAATATTTGAAATGTAGGAGGCAACTGAGTGAAACATGGCCAATGATACTGTATGATTCTGGTAGGTGCACATGTCTATGTAAACAACAATATATAAAACAAGCATCGCATTTTCAAAGACATTTAAAGTGAATATGAAGATTTTTGTATACAAGCAACATCCCAACCATTAAAACTGTCCTGGATCACAAGCTGGTATAAAGACAGGTTACATACTGTTAAAATCACAATATATCATTTAAATCTGGAACCTGAATTCCCCAGCATAAAGACTTAAAAAACCTACTCTTCTCATAACGCCTTTAGGAGCAAAGTTTTGGGAAGTTATCCAACAAACTACTTATACCCAGACAGACCCTTGGGGAAATGGTGGTTAATCATCAATTTGTGAAAATGAAAGACGGACAGACCAAATCAGACACAGTTGGGAGTAAAGATACAACAGAAATACAGACGCTACAGCTTGATGTGGAGGTGAAGGTTACAAATGTATACTAGATTTGGAGTAGGAATACAGCTACTAATGGAAACTTCTATTTTTATCTCCTATATATTCTAGTAGCCTGTAGTGCAATTATGCACTATTGTTATCTGTGTACTGTACATGTGTATGTATTTAGGTTACTTTTATCATCTATTGAATATTTAGTGTCTATATTGACCTAGATTAGTGTACAATGGTTGTTTATCTAACTCTGTTATTTAAGAGTTAAGAATAAAACACAAAGCAAAATATAAACCAATTTATTCAAAGTAATCAATAAAAATAACTCAAGCTAAAACAAATTGTTTTCAACAAAAGTGAGACACATAAACAGAGCCTAATGTTTTAAGCCACAACATCTCCCAAATACTGAGACAGATAAAAACATGGATCACAAAATCTATTGATTTATCAGACAGGCATATATAGATCTTTAAGTTCATACTTTCATCTTTTTCCCAATCTTTGGTTCTAAAGCAAAATGAGTATTGAAGAATTTAGTGGTAAACTCATGATGTAATATTTACTGTAAAAGTTGTTGAAATTAATTTAAACAAACAAAACAAAATTGTATATTAGATGAACATATTAGGTCTATGCCTGTCTAAATCAACATACTGGTATATGAAGTTTGCCCACAACAATGTATAAAAAACATCACTTCAAAAAGACACATTTATGATATTTCTGATACTCCAATACTTACAGAAGTCATTCAGTGCCAATATTAAAAACATCTTACAACCTTAATACAAGTTAAATTAACTTTCACCATTACATACATACATCACATAATTTTACATTATCATACACTCACTGTCAGCTATAATATATATTTCATTACATTTCTTAAAGTAAAGTATAAGCTTTTAATTGTGAAAATATTACTGAGTAAACCAGTTGTGATGTTTTCACTCATTTTTGACTAATCAGATCATATATAAATATATGTATTTTCACATAGTGCATTGTGGGACTGGTAGTGTAAAATTGCAGGAGCTGTAAATTTATTGTGATGCACTGATACTAGTCTGAGTCTGATCATCAGAGTGTTTCATGTTGCATTTACTTAATTCATAATAAATAATTTGAAGACTTGTGTTTTTGATGTGAAACTACTGTATATTATCTAGCAGTGTAATGATAACAGAGAAGTAGATAGAATGTAATACAGTAAATAGATGATTTTGTGTTAATAAAAAACAGATACATTTCATCTCAGGCAAAGTCATGGAGTGGAAACTCCACTCATCTTAAAGTTTCCGCCCCACTTGAGAAAATATAACTGTCATTCGTCAAGAAACAAAGAACAATATCTAGATATAAAGTTTGAAATCTTGTTATTTCTTTTCGGTGAATGAGACATAATCATATGGAAGACATAGCTATGGGGAATGGGCAGCAAGGACTAAAACAGTTACGAATAAGTAATTCTATAAGCTATGATTAGTCACATCAATCTTGTATGTGTTTAGAATACATCACACACTTTCTTTAATAACAAAGTTAAATTTCAATCACCGTTTTGGTCAAAAGCAGAAATTAATCGGCCATTGTCAAATAACTCTAATCATTCCATCAATCGAAGCCTAGGTTACCTGTTAAACAGTTGTCAATTAAACTACAAGCTATTATTCCATTAATCTACTCAGACTACCCATTGAACATCAAACACCTGTCATAACTTTCCTGTCAGAGGATGCTATATAGACATAGATATGAGCCAACCATTGAAAATAAATAGTTACCAGTACCTGTGACTCTTAAGACAATAAAACAATGCCTGTACATCTGTTACAAGTTAAAATCTAACATGAAAACAAAATTGAAAATGGAATGAGTTGTCATTCGGAGAATAATGATATCAAAATGAGATCAGTTTATATATTTACCAGGTATGTATGGCATGTGTAAACAATGTAATACAAATGATAATTATACAGGTAGTTTACATCACACTGATATATATATCATTTCATGGATAAACAATAATCTGAGATTTGTCATATCACAATATCAATGTCACAAGTTTTATTTTTTAATTGATTAAAAACATGATTGTAACTTTTATCTGATGCTCCAGATAAAGTGAGTATTTACCATAACTTTAATAGGTAACTGTAAATTTTCCAATAAAGTTATATAAATAATACATTAAATAAGATTTGAGGAGACATATAACTGAATTATGGACTGTGAAATGCCTCCAAAACATCAAATATCAATTACATAGTATATTGCACTTCCATAAATTATTTGAGGCAGCTTACCACGAGTCAACTAGAATGACGAATCACATTGTCCAGAAGAAGTAATTAGTCTTTTTCCTAAGACATTTGTCCCTACATATCATAAACATCAAGAGTATTCCTCCATGTTTGTTTGCAACATTCTTCGAGTCAAGTCCAGTTTGTGACATTTGTCCCTACATATCATAAACATCAAGAGTATTCCTCCATGTTTGTTTGCAACATTCTTCGAGTCAAGTCCAGTTTGTGATAGAACTTCAGTACATCTGGGTTAGCACGCACACACCCTCTGTCAAAGTCTAATACCCGCAATCCTTCCAAACTCTTGGCACGTGACAAAGCTACATAGGCCTGGCCAGATTCAAACACTTTGGATACTGTGATCTCCACACAATCCAGTGTCATTCCCTGTAAAATATTTGACAACAAATTTCAATGACATGAATATTAATTTTCACACTTGTAATCAAACCCACTATAAAAGAGCCCCTTACTTCAAATCGAGACCCTGACAAAAAGTGCTTTTTGTACCATCGGAAAGGTCTTGTCACAGGGAACACGAAAGCCAGATATGAAATCCCTACCTCTTACAGTACAATAGTTATGGCAAGGTTAAAAATGACAACAGACAAACAAACAGCACAAAAACAATATGCCCTGATTTTTCGATCGGGGGCATAAAAATAATTATATTTTTTCTCGTTTACTAGCCTTAATATGTGGTTTGTGACATGAGAGAACATCATTTATAGTGCTATGTACATAGCTGCTTGTCTGTGACTGACCTGACTCTTGTGTATGGAGATTGCCCAGGCCAGTTTGAGAGGGATCTGTTTCCTTGTTAGGTATACAGCCCCTGCAGCTTTAAATGTCCACCTTGCTGGTTTGATGACCTCTTCTACTCCAGACAGAAATTTCACGATTGGTAAACCTGTTAAAATGGAATCACAAGTATAATCAAAATTGAGACTTTCTATCAGATGCACATAGAGAAAACTGGTACTTAATAAGATCATTAAACTAAGAAACAAAGACAATATATCTTTTCTTTAATTTGGAAGTGATCCTTACTTACCCCAGATATCAGGAATATCCATTATTGTATGATAAGGAGTACTCTGGATATATTCTAGAAATAATAAAAATATAATGAAGCAAGGCTTATTCTGTGTACATGAAATACCTTCGCTTCCCTTCTCAAATCCAGTGACCAATCCTCTGGCTCCATTGACTAGACCTCGATGTACTTCTAGGTTCTTAGCCAGCATTACCTGTGTTAAAATGACAGTGAACAGTATTATGTGGTGGTTAGATTTTATTGGATATAAATGACACGGTCAACAAAATCATATTTACTTAGAAAATATTATAACATTGCACACTTCATCAAAGTATACATATTTGTTGAAAACGAAAATTATGTAATCAAAAATTTTTTAGTCCTGCTAAACTTTACTTTACAACACCATAGAAGAATTCTCTAGTCCAAGAAGTAATAAGAGTTTATCTTTGTCTTTTGACTTATCATGCCAGTCCTCCATAGAACCTTATCAATTTGGTTTCTGAAGTTCATAACATAACGTAACAGTTCAAGGAAAGATAATTTAACAGTGATCATTGACCTTGTGATTTTAACTGATTATACACATATCATTCTTAAACCAGAAACCCAGTGTTTTTATTTGATTATAACCACCTTTTCTTGAAATGTCACAATGAAATCTTTGTCAAAAGCGATATTATTGGTGTGGTAAAAATTTATCTCAGTTTGAAAAGTGTGTTTTAATTCAATAATACATAGCACAAACACAACACAAAAAGATGATTAGAAATGTGAAAGAATATCTGTATCAACACCGGTTGGGTTTGACATCAGTTACCACAGATTGATATTATGTGCACTATCCTACTAAGATGCTAAGGTACTGATAATGATTTCTTTCACAAAATCATCAATTGAAAATAAATTAAGACACAGGACATCAATCAGAAGGGTGTGGTAAAGTGAAGGTAGTTAAGTAGTGTAGCTTATTTCATTACCACGGATACAATATACACTAAAGTAGAGCAAGGAAAAGGAAAGTGTGTGGAAAATATAAAGGAAAGCATAGACAAGGAAAATTAGAGGAAAAATATAAAGGAAAGCATAGACAAGGAAAATTAGAGGAAAAATATAAAGGAAAGCATAGACAAGGAAAATTAGAGGAAAAATATAAAGGAAAGCATAGACAAGGAAAATTAGAGGAAAAATATAAAGGAAAGCATAGACAAGGAAAATTAGAGGAAAAATATAAAGGAAAGCATGGACAAGGAAAATTAGAGGAAAAATATAAAGGAAAGCATAGACATGGAAAATCAGAGGACAAATAAAATGAGAGCATGGATAAGGAAAATTAAAGGAAAAATATAAAGGAAAGCATAGACAAGGAAAATCAGAGGACAAATAAAATGAGAGCATGGATAAGGAAAGTTAGTGGATAAATATTAAGGAAAGCATGGACAAGGAAAGTTAGTGGACAGATATAGAGGAGAGCATGGATAAGGAAAGTTAGTGGACAAATATAGAGGAGAGCATGGATAAGGAAAGTTAGTGGACAGATATAGAGGAGAGCATGGATAAGGAAAGTTAGTGGACAGATATAGAGGAGAGCTTGGATAAATAAAGTTAGTGGACAAATAAATAAGAGCATAGATAAGGAAAGTTAGAGGACAAATAAAATGAGAGCATGGATAAGGAAATTTAGTGGGCAAATATTAAGGAAAGCATGAACAAGTGGCAGATATGAGGGAGAGCATGGACAAGGAAAGTTAGTGGCAGATATGAGGGAGAGCATGGGCAAGGAAAGTTAGTGGCAGATATGAGGGAGATCATGGATAAGGAAAGTTAGTGGATGGATATATAGGAGACTTAGAACAAGGAAAGTTAATGGACAGATATAGAGGAGAGCATGGACAAGGAAAGTTAGTGGATGGTTATATGGACACATGATGACCCTTCTTGTCATTGATATATAATCCTGAAGGAGTGATTTACCTGTGCACCCACTTTAAGCTCCAGTTTGTGTGGGACAGGACAAAGGCCATCTATTTGTTTAGAGTAGGCAGTATCATTGTCTGTTGATATGAATACTTTAGGTGTAGCTGAAAATAAATCCAAATCATCATATTTATTCTTATTTTGATGCTGATCTTAATATTTTTCTCTTGTGATACTGCATAGTGGACAAAGAATTATTTTCTAAAATAACTTCATAGCTGATTAGCAGAGCAGTATAGTGACAGAGCTAAACACAAAACCTAACCAATGTGACATTAGAACAGATTAAGAAGTCATGGCGATGTAACTATTTTTCATTAGTTTTAACAAATGGTGTGACTATTTCAAGCTTAGGAGATCTATACCCCAAAAATCAATGACCAAACAAACTATACCATTGAGCTTTCCCATCTGGTACTTGTTGATCTCATCCACATCCTCTTTGTGTGTACAAAGTCGCGTTGCTAAGATACCATTTTTCTGAATATTATGTTTGGATGTTGCTCGAAGTGTTGTTTCAACAAAGTCAGGACATCTGTATAAGAAATACTTGTCAGTTAATATAAACAAATGTTCTCAAGCACTATATATAACCTATGTAGCTAATGAACTGATGGTAAATCACATCAGGTGTGTATGTAAAAGTTATAGATTGTCTTTCCAGCTACTAGAAATTTCTTTTTCAGATAGTAGCAATGTGTACACTGGAGCAAAGATAGGTAGTTTGATTTATACCTTTTCTCTGATGTTCTAGAACATATATATTGTATAATATATCTCCCATTCTTACTGTATGATATATAGAACAGTATGTCTATTCTATATGTTTTAGAACACATACTTAATTTCTTTATTCTATCGTTCCTATTTATGTGAAAATGCCTACTCAATTAGTACATGCCAGCATTTCTTTTGTATACCAAATAGCCAAGTTTGTCTCTTACATTTATGCTGAAATGCCTACTTTTGTTAATATATCTTGGTACTATAGACATGTGTGTTTACTCAAAATAACGATTAACTGTAAAGGAGAATAATTAAATTCCTCACAATACATCAAGACTGACCTGCCGAGTCTGACGTTCTGTAAGACGTTGATGAAGTTGCTATCTGATTGTCGTTTCACCTCTGTCAGCTCCATGTTCAACTGGACACATTTTGGCCAAGACTTTGCCTATAATTTTATGTGATTGTAAATTCAATTCTAAAAGTATTTTTCATTCCTTTTGTTAGGTCAATTATATCTAAAGGTATGGAATATTTCTTTATCACATGTCCTTGTAGTCACTTTGATAGGGAGATACATGAAGTAAAATCAGTATTTCAGTCGTGTAGTGAAGTTTTGCTATACCTCTACCAGGACTAAGGAGATTATGAAATAAAATATTTGAGAAAGAACTATCCATGACTTTTCAACAAATCATAATAACAAGATTTGTTAAAAAGACAGATGGATGGCCAACTGACCACAGACTGAAGACAATTGGAATAAAGCCAACAAGGCTAAAACTTTACATAAAAATTTACCTGGAAGCAAAATTTCCTTTTATCAGTGCCTTTGGTTACTGGTGGTAACTGTAGGAAATCCCCACAAAGAATCAGCTGGATTCCTCCAAAGGGGAGATCATTCTGTTTAACTACTCTGTCAAAGTATTAGATGAATATTTAGAATTGCTTGATGTCATGATCACGCTTGAGGCATTCATTTGTGCTTTAATCAACAATCAAAAGGACAACACTCTTTATTGTCAAATCCATTTGCATAGTCTTGTTTTCTTTTTGAAATATGTAAATGTCACAGAAAAAAAACTCTTTCCCACGGGTTTTCTTCTTTTTGTTATTTTTAACAACATCTATATATAATACTCTTCAAAATGCAGATGTTGCCCCAAATTTATAAACAATTGTATTAAAATTCTTTTCCATAGCCTTTACCATAATTCTCTAGAAAAACAAAATTCAGGACTTTTCATGTAGCTCAAAATATCTTATTAAAAATATGTTATATCATAACAAGTTAAATTTGAGGAAATACAGTATGGAGAAAGCTTGATGTCTGGATCAAGACACCTCAAATAGTTATTTCTTAATACAGGATTAATAGAATCGTAAGTATTGTTTGGTAACAGAGAAACACAAATTTTATGCCAACTATTAACATTGCAAAACACTTGATATTAAAAAGTAGTAAAGCTATCAACATCTTAGAATACTTCATTGGTTATGATCACTTTTATCTCTGCACACCTGGAACATTTCATGGCAAAATTGAAGGCTCTGTGTGCGACACATTGCAGAAATAATGAGAAAACTTGTTTGATCCTTTGATGTATATCAAACGAACCTCAAGCCCCATAAGAGTATGTTGTACTGACTTTGAAGCTGGGTGTTTCTCCTTTGAAATCTTCGAAGGAGTGTATCGTGGAGTTAGTTTGCTTTTGCCTTCAATTTTGCCATGAAATGTTCTAGGAGTGCAGGTGTGATTGTAACCCCCAGGAGTATTGCAGATGAACTATTAATGCTTATAATTAGGAATTTTATTGTTAGAAAGCTAAGGAAAAGGCTTTCTTAGTATTATTCTAAATAAGGATATTAAAAGTAACCTCTTTAAACCTGCTAGGTCCCCAAAAGATACTGTTGCTGATCAATATTTATATAGCTGATAATATTATAGCAACTGTCAAAGTCCACAGCATTAAGTGTTATCCCTTATGGCAGTTAGTATTTTATATTACAATGTCCAACATTCAGACTTTCACTGGGAACACATTACTATTCCACCACAACATTAAACAAACCTTGCTACTGTTTCCAATTTATCAAAGAAGTCACCATCCACCATGGAGATTTCATCAATGATGAGATGATGACATTTCTTCCACTGCTGTATAACAAGTGGTCGTGAAGCCAGCTCTACACACTGCTGAAGATCTGCTCGACCTGAACCTATACCTGTCAAGGAAATGAAGGATGTTCGGTACATAAATGGGGGGTAGTTTGAGGGTGGACTAGAAATATGTGCTGTGTTTCCATTTCATATAGATGGCTGGGGTTTAATATCCTTATCTGACAGTGAAAGCTTTGGCATAGAAGAATCCCCCTCCCCATCATCTATCTGGGCTGCATGATCAGAGTACATTCATAAAACATATGCCACAACTGGAATGCATTAAAATGTCAAGAACAAAATTTATAATAAATATATCCGACACTCACTTAATCAATTATAAACAATTTTTTTTAACTGAAACAATTTGGGAAGTATATCAAGCATCACATGCAACTTGTGAAACTTTGTTTCCTCAAAATGTTATTTCATATACTTGTTTGACAATCTTGTTGGTTATCTTTAAAGCATTAGAATATTATTAGGAACATGAGGTGGCATTGCTATACTCACTTAGCAAGAATGGTTACATTTTAAAACTTCTTACCAGCAAAAGAATGTAGAGTTATCCCCCCTATGTGACAGGCGGCTACTCCTGTGCTTGCTGTTGCATAAGTATGTTGGGGTGGCAAGGCACCTGTTCAAAAAAGAGACTTTTAAAGTGATTTACTGCTAAGTGTACAATCACATCTATACATTCTACCAAATGACACTGTAAATTGTTATCATATAGGGAAAATATGACATTAGTTAATTAATACAGGTGTATAAGCAACACAATCCATTATGTACTGAACTGTACCTGTATAGGTGAACATTTGTCAGTAAATGATACAAAGGATGACCAATTATCATATTGCCTAAAATGCCAGCAAATGCAGAGTGACCAAAATGAACCATATTTTGGATGTTTATATTTACCAATAATTCTCCGCAATAGGAAGGATTTGCCTGTGCCTGCACTACCTGTAAAGAAAACATTTTTCCTACTGACAACAGCATCCAGTACAGAAGTTTGTCCCTTGTTCAGCTTCACTGGGTTCAACACAGGTTTAAAAGGACTACAGCTAGACATGAGCTTGCGAGCCATTTTAACACCCTGAGGTGGAACGTTTTCTTTCTCCTCATTTTCTCTCTTTCGTTTCCCTTTACCCTTTGGTGTGAACACATCCAGTTTATTTTCAAGCTTTTTGGCTCTCATTTCGTGAACTGTCTGAAGATCTTTCAGAGTAAGAGGGCTTATGTCCTCAAAGGTTCTTGGTAAATCTGACAACAAACGCTTCCGATCATGAACTGGAGGTTTTTGTTTGTGACATTCAAGTTTAGTGTGCATGGTCTTTAGAAACATGATGAGTTTATCTGGAGGACAATTTGATAACAAAAATTGAATATTCCTGTCAGGAATTTTGATGGTTGCTTTTCCATCTTTTACAAACTTTTTGTGAATTGTTAATTCTTTCAAAGCAAATTTCATGTCTCTTTTGGCAAAGTCAATTTTCAGTACAACATCTCTAAACTCATTCCTGCCAAGAGTGAGAGTCATGTTTTTATGCTGCGTGCGCTTCTGTACATCACCAGCTGATCCAATGACTTCCATCCATACTGTACACACAAGCGTGTTTAACTCCATTTCTGTTTATCTAGAGGGGAAAGAAAGAAAATTACATTATGTTAGCAGCTAAAGAATATTTATGATTGGGAACCTACAAAACACTTCATTTTGTTTAAAAGGGCTCGTTACAAACGAAAAGGTATATTTGTGTGCTATCGGTAAATTTGTATTCGGCAGTGTCTGAAACAGCCGTATAAGAGAGTCTTCGTCACAGGTACCAGTCTCGTCTGTCAAGACACTCATACGAAAAACTATGAGTGGACAGACGACTCACACGAATAACTATGAGTGGACAGACGAAACTAGTACATTGGTCTACATGCGTATAAATAGAGACATAGAGAAGGGAAAATACCTTTTGTAATAGCAGTAAATTGTGTTGTTATCATCGTATGAGAGAGAATTACTATTATATAGAAGTTAATACCCCAAGTTATGCCATAAGTCATCTTGAAACTATACGATTGGAAATGTATTGCTGCCTGATGTTTACATTCTCATAGTTCTTTTTCATCAGCGGAAAGAAAATAACGCTACTGGTGACCTGGCAATGATGAATTAGAAACAGACCTAATTTTATACAGTAGTAACACAAACTCTTAGATTGTGACACAGTAAACGCTTCAATCAATCAATATATCAATCAGTCACCTGTTAATCAGCTGGTGCGACTTGTCAACTTTGAAATTAGTGCCAGATCGAAAACGAGGCTCATCTAATTGCGAACCAATAGAAAACGCTGTTACACCAATTAGCCAATGACAATCAGTTACACATATGAGATGAACTGTCATGGCTTCCGACTGACAAAAATACGCGAAGATGAACTAGAAAAATATAGGTATTGTAATTCTTCTGATTAATACACACAGAAAAAATGTCTTGCACGCCTTAGGATTGTTAATTGATAACCATTTTTTGTATTTTGTTTTGCATTAGGGACATCGAATATCTCAACAGTTTTTTACGACGCCGACGGTCGGTGTTGCCTTGTTTGGTAGTCAATTTGTCAGTTACTCAGTCAATGCCAGTGCCGTGGCAGTTATCAGTTGATAAAGTCTCATGACAGTGATATAGAAACAAGCACACATTTATATTACATCATCTGAATGCAGTTACATGGATATGTTAAAGTATCTAAATATGCGCTGGTGTAAGACAAAGGATTTAAAATGCACTGCTATAAACAGTTATTGGCCCTTTTTACAGATTGGTGCTAGCTGCAATTAAGGGATAGTTTGGAGTTGCTGAAATACATTGTCATGTTGAAATAAAACACAAGAAGCAGTTTTAAACATTTACAACAAAAAAGGTTATATATTTTTTTACATTGCCCAGTTATCAAAGCAACAATTTGTACAAGTTTACACACAAAAAGTGAATTATTGTCTCTCTCCCTTTTTGTTTTTGAAAAAAATCAAACTTTATAACTCCTATTGGTTATCAACTGCTTATACTGTGTGGTTAAGATAGGTAAACAGGTAAACTGACGACATTGACACTAAGTTTGAATACTCCAATTGCCAATACATTGTAGTCAACAGTAGAACGAAACCAGTGGTATTAATTGTCATTTTGACACAAAGTTGGATAATAAAAATGGATGTTTTGTATACTATTAAATTCATTGTCTCATTGGCTATTGGGAAATGTTAAAAATATGAATTAATTGTGTTTCCGATTCAAAATGATGCTGCACTTGAGTAACTAACTGAACCATCCTCAAATGCAGGAATATTACACATATGCTGTGTTATTCCCAACCTATTTTACTGCTTTTTACTCAGAATTTTTACATTTTATGGCATGCTAATGCACATCCATTGTCCTTGCCATTTGAAAGATCTGTTATTCATGATATATTTAAGAAATTTTGTGTATTATTTCAGAAAATGACTGCATTTGGTTGGAAGCGAAAAGCTGGGGAAAAGGTTGCTAGAAAAGCGTCTGTAGCCTTTGAAAAAGATGCAAAAGATGAAGTTAACCCTGAAGACGTAGATGTGGACTGGCTTACATTAGTTCCACAAAAGAAAATAATCTGCTTAGAAGATTCCTTTGCAAAAAGCAACAGATTGAAGCAGGAAGGAACAGTCTTAGCAGATTCTGAGAGGTGTGGTTTTATATGATCATCAATTGAAATCATGTGTGCAGTTATTCTTGTCAAGTTCTGAAAAGTTAGTAAAATGTTTTAAGTCTTAAATTTTATAACTTTAAGTTATAGACTTTAAACCTACAATACACAACATTTACAAATGTTACTTTTTTATGTGACTGCCATGTTCTTTTAGTAAAATTCAATGACTTGAATTTGAACAAAATAGTCTTTATTTTAGTTATACGCTTATAAACCCATGTTTTCAGTGTGATTTTGTTCAATTTACAAGATTTAGTGTTGGTATGAAGATATGCAAATTTTAGCATTTGAAAGATTATAAATGTAAGAGTATTGATAAATATTGTTCTGAATCAACATTCATTAAAGGTCAGATTGAATATTTTCGCCATATTTGTAATTATGCCAATGACAAAATTGGTATCAACATAATATATATATTAATTTGACAGCAGGTTATTGCCCCAGCAAGCCAAAATCTGTACCTGATTATCAATGTAATTTCTTCGCTATTTTTTTTAACTGAAGCAATGGTCTGATGCTCAGTCGCCTTGCTCAGGTGTACAGACTGAATATTTAATTCCATTTGTGAGTGTGCATGCTGTTGTGGTCTTATTTTGTTGTTTTGAATTTTATCTCCTTTTAACTTATACTAAAAGGTATATGTTGTCATTTTTTACTTTTAAACCTGTAAATCAACCTGACCCACATATTTCTCCCAAATATGTTTCAGATATTGGGAGGCAGTAAGAAAATGGGATGAAGCCATTAAACTGAATCCAACAGATGAAACATTGTATGAAATGAAATCACAGGTAATCAACGTACATATTATTATGTTCTCTGCACAGATATTTGTTTCATGAAAACATGTATTTCATTTATTCGCTTCAAAAGGCATGCTGTTCGTATAAACAATGTTACTTCATCCAACAATTTGTTATCAATATTGTATTTTAAAGGTGTTGCTAATCCTGTGTGAAGTATACCCAGCTGTACATATGGGTGAAAGAGCTGTTGAATTGAAGCCAACATGGTGGGTGGCTCATCAGACCTTAGGCAGAGCATGCTTGGGCTTGGGCGAGGTCAGAATGGTAAGGGTTTGATACCTCTTTAGACATTATTATTCACAGTCACACACAAACTTGGTATCTCTTGATTCAACCAAGTTGATCCAATTGTTGTATCTTGTACAGCTACAGCTTAATGGCTGTCATTTAATTACAAACTTGTTGATTCAAATATTTTGGAATCAGTATTAAGGTAATTTTCATCTATTTGAAAACCATATCTTCAACAGAATGTTTCTCTAAAACTGAAAAAAATGAAAATACAGCAAAAGAAAGAAAAAGGAAAATTTTATGAACATACCAGTAATACATGTTGAGGTATTGTATATCTCCCTTCATTTGTTATAGATATGATATAACTAACACACAATATGATGTGCTGTTGTTTTTGTTTCACTTGTATAGTGTCTTCAGAAGTATTTCATTGAAACTTAAGTGTACTAAATATGAGGGACAAAGCAGTATGAGCAAAACACATAATTACGAATAATTTCATAATCACCAAAGTATGTAAGTTATATGAAATTTCAGTCAGTGATCATTTCTTTTCAGGCTTTAAAAAGTTTTTCTCGTGCTGTTCATTTAAATCCAGCAAACCCAGAACTCTGGAAGGATGATTTGTGGTGGGCTGCTGAGTTATGGAAGAAGCATACAGACTCTGTGAAAACCTTAATGGCTCAGAAAGAATCAGAATCTAGTGTTGTGATTAAAGAATATTCTGACAATGAAGATATTGAAAATGAGGAAAATGTGTCAACTTCAAAGCCTTTGAATTCACATAAGAAAATGTTCACCCATACAGGAACAGCAAAACTGAAAACAAAAGCTTCCAATGATCAATCAAATTCCAATCCCAAATCATTGCCTAAAAATTATGTTCATATGAGAGATTTATGAACTTTTCCTTGAATTATCAGTATGTGTTTATCTAATTAGAGATCATGCATAGTTATATACATTTGTTATCTAAATTATACTGATTAAAAATCTTTAAGTATTGAATAATGCTCCATAGCAATAGAATGACTTGTACATGTCCTGTTCAAAAAAGTGATGTATATAGTTAAACGATGCATCTCTCACCATGTGTATACAGTGTAAATAATTACACATCATATAGGTAATTGTATACAGAGTAATAACACACCATTCAACAGGTGATTGTATACAGTGTAATGATACACCCCTCACCAAGTGATTGTATACAGTGTAATGATACACCCCTCACCAGGTGATTGTATACAGTGTAATGATAAACCCCTCACCAAGTGATTGTATACAGTGTAATGATACACCCCTCACCAGGTGATTGTATACAGTGTAATAATACACTGTTCAACAGGTGAGTGTATACAGTGTAATGATACACCCCTCACCAGGTGAGTGTATACTGTGTAATGATACACCCCTCACCAGGTGATTGTATACACTGTAATGATACATCTCTCACCAGGTGATTGTATACAGTGTAATGACACACCCCTCACCAGGTGATTGTATACAGTGTAATGACACACCCCTCACCAGGTGATTGTATACAGTGTAATGATACACCCCTCACCAGGTGATTGTATACAGTGTAACGATACACCCCTCACCAGGTGATTGTATACAGTGTAATGACACACCCCTAACCAGGTGATTGTATACAGTGTAATGATACACCCCTCAACAGGTGATTGTATACAGTGTAATGATACACCACTCACCAGGTGATTGTATACAGTGTAATGATACACCACTCACCAGGTGATTGTATACAGTGTAATGATACACCCCTCACCAGGTGATTGTATACAGTGTAATGATACACCCCTCACCAGGTGATTGTATACAGTGTGATGATACATCTCTCACTGAAGTATGTCAAAGTGATTACCCAGTGTGCCATCCTGAATATTTGAGTGGACAGAATAAAATCGAAAAATAAGACTTTTATTATTTTCTATGTCTATTTGCAGCATTGAACTTGAAGGCAGTTTACTTCATACAAACATATTCATTACTTCATTTTATTTTCATTACTCAACAGAAAAATAATGTGAATTTGAAAATATTGTGCAGTTATTTTACAGCAGCAACTCTACTGTATTTATTGTGACAGCCAAACCAATGTACACATTACATTAAAAGATTTTTATGTATTGTCAGGTATATGGAGCATGTTAATAGATTTTAAAGAGAAACATGGAATTAATAAGACCATACAGCAAAGAATTGTATGTTAATGTGTGGAGATTAACCTTTATTGTCTTGTTTAGATTCAGGAAGCAGTTTTACTTTGGAGAAAATGAAAAATAAAACTTAATTAGATATACTAGTACCTGAATCCCAAAATAAGATTAGCAGTTTTCACTTACAATTTAATTTAGAGAAACAAGGGTAAAGTAGAAATCTATCCCTTGTCATGTTCTTACAAGAGTTAAAAGCAAAAGCATTAAAAAGTTATAACAAAAGAATAGGAAAAACCACAATTGTCATGTTTCAGATTATGTAAAAATAGGTACTCAACAAAGAAGATATTCCTTGTTCTAGTACTAAGTTAAATATCAATAACCACACTCTTCTCTGGTAAATATACTGGTATATACATTTTTTAAAAAATTTTAATTTCAATTATTTAGAAAGATATAAAGCCTCTGACAGATCCTATACAACACCATGGAGTGAGGAAGCATGGATTTGTGCTGCAAGATATTTTAATATCAGTATGTAGAAATGTTGGAATACACGTACAAGAGATGCCATTAGCAATATGGCACAAAAGGTCTCCATAAAGTTGACATGGAGTACAGGATCCTGTCCTGTTCAGATTCAGTGTGGTTTTGAGTGCCATGTAATGTCATGGTGGAAAAAAATTCCTCCATGAACTCCAAGTTGAACAGAAATGTAATGAAATAATGGAAAGATATGAAATTAGGATCCAACAAATGGAGGATGAACTTTCAGAAGAAATGTGATAAAAGTACTGTCAGGTAGACGACTATAGAAGAGCTTGCCCACTCATCCGACACATCCATGGTGATCCAGCACACAACCCCATGTACTGGTACACAACAGGTTCTAACAGAACTAGAAGACAGAGAATGGAGAGAAACTTAATATTATGGTTTTTGGCATTTAGGAATAGGCTAGCAGAGAAGGAAGTGAGCAAAAAGAGAGGGATGAGAAGGCAATGCTGGACGCATGCAAACTACCATTGGATATATTTGTAACATCACAAAAGTACTTGGAAATTTGATAAAACCAAAGGGAACTATCAAATCAAAGACTAGATTTGGTGTCCTTTTCTACAGTGGAGGAGAAAAAGAATATAAAGGAACTGAAATGGCGGAATGATTTAATACAGATGTGGAATCAATTAACAAAGACTGAAAGAAAAAGGATATGGAACTACAAGAGGAGGCTAAAAGGAAACCCAACATGAATTCTGGGGAAGGCATATACAGTATGAGAGGATCACCATGAAACAGAAAAATAATTTGGTTACCAAAGGGGAAAATATCAAACAACGGAGACACCAAACTTCAAACAATCGGTGGAATAGAAAGTCTTAACAGTCTTAACACACAAATGCGGATAGCATTTTAAATAAACTAGATGGAATGAAATCAAGATCCATAATGATACATATAAGTTCAATGTAATAGGAATTACCAAAATTTATCCCCAAATCTTCAGATACCTGCCAAGTAAAGCAGTCCTTCATTCCTAGGATACCAGCTGTTTGTAAAATGTGTATGATGCAAATCAATATTGTGGTGAAGATCTGTAAAAAAAGAGCTTAAATCATGTGGCAGTTTCAATGGAAAGCAATTTCAAGGTAATTATTTGGGTTTAGACATATTTACCAAGTGGACAAATTCTTACTGGTTATACATACAAAAACCCAACTCTGATAATGTGAACAATGAAGATATGTACAATCTTGTGATCAGTATTTAAACTTACAAAAAATCCTGATCTTTTATTATTACAATTTTCCTTAAATAAATTGGAATACATGGCAATCAAAAAGAAATTTGCTCTGGGACCCTTTTATGGAATTTCTGAGAGATAACTCCTTGTAACAACATACTAAGGAAAACACTTGAATAAGGTCAGGATGCAAGTCAAATATCCTCAGTAATGAGAAGACGTACGTAATATAGAGTATGAATGTCCATTCGGTATCACTGACCATCTAGTGTTATCTTTCAAATTTACATTATTACAATGAGATGAAACAGGATCTTCAAAACGTTAACTGGAACTTCCTATTTGATTAAGACTTTGAGGAAGCATATGATAATTTCCTGAATATCCTTAACACATCAGCATATAGATATGTACCAAAGAAAACAAGTTCTCCCAAGAATTCATTAAGTGATTAAGTTACCAAGAAAATTAACAAAAAGCGCAGGTCATGGACTCGATATATGGAAACCAAACCTGCAAATATATATAAAGAATACTTGAGGTATAGAAATTAGGTTAAATGGGAGATACGGAAAACAAGGAAGGACTTTAAAAAACAGAGCAAACAACATTAAACAACAGCTAAAGCACTTCTGGCAATACAGAAATTAAAAATGGAAAACAAAGTCAGGAATAGGGGGACCCAAAAGGATCAAACGGGTACGAGGCACAAAGTAGCTACAAACGGTACAGATAAAGTTTCACCAGTGTCTTAACAGTGGAACCAATAAGCGAAATACCAAAATTTTAAAACAGAAAGTTGATTTAACATTTCCAGGAAACACTTTAACGTGCAACAACAAAAAAAACACATACACACCTTAAAGAACCGAAAAGCAACAATTCGATGATATGTACCCAAAAGCACTGAAAGAACCTGCGGACGTCCTAAGCAAATCACTGAAAACGATATTTAATAAACTATTGAAAGAAGGAAAATTACCACAACCTAAGAAAGATGCTAATATCTCAGCCATTTACAAAAAGTAACCCGAAGTGGACCCAGGGAATGTAGCCCAGTAAGTCTCACAGGTATCTAAGTAAAGGTGTGTGAAACGCTTATCTAAGATAAAATTGTATTACATATACAGGAAAATAATCTGTTCAGCAACAAACAATTCGGTTTCATTCTTGGAAGATCAACAACACAGATGTTGAGGGTTCTGAAAATTTTTACTAAGATGTTGGATTCATGAGGGAAAATCTATGTTATATATATAGACTTGCTGGAGGTTTTTCATAATGTTTCCCATCGTTGCCTCATACACAAATTTCACAAATATGGAATTAGACCATATACAGTATACAGTACTGAAAATTTGAATAATAGACATCAAAGGGTAGTTATAAATTATTCATCATCACAAATCACTAGGTACGCAATGGAATTTCACAAGGAAGTGTCCTGTGGCCGATTATATTTGTCATTTATACCAACGGTATCACCATGCCCCGTTGTTTAACTTTTGACATGAAATTATACCGTATATTCTACCACAGGATTTGGATCAACTGTAGAAATGGTTAAATTGTTGGTTATTCAAATTTCAACCTGATAAATTAAAATTTATATATATAAGGAAATCAGGGCAAAAGAAAGGAAATATCATTTGAAAGTATTAGAACTGAAAAAGACCTGGGTGTGATGGTTGATGATGGATTAAACTTTGGAAACTATAGAAAGATTTAAAGAATTATCATATGAGGTCGGAGCGACAAGAGAAGCTACAGTTTCCCACTCTGAAGTATAGAAGAATGAGAGAAGACTTGATAACTGCCTATAAGATGATTTTCAAACATTTTGATGAAAGTGTTACCTTAAAGCCTGCTATGAAAGAACTCGATGGCATTATTTTTGTACAAAAACCAATATAGTACAGAACACAGGCGAAATTATTTCACGTTTAGAGTTGTAGACGTATGTAATAATCTACCTGTTCATGTCGTAAAGGCAAAAAAATGTGCGACATTTGAACATAATTTATTTTTAATTAAAATTATATTTACATTTCATAAGTTAAGTCATTGATACTATGTTGAATATAATTATCATATGGATATAGAGGATTTTAGCCTGCATTTATCAAATCGCTCAATGATATTAAATGAAAATCAATGAGATTCACAATCTTAGGTTTTCAGATACTTTATTAAATATTTCATAATTGATGGAAAATAAAAACACTGTTTTCATGTTTAAGAGTGACATCTGTACGGATAAAATCAAATTCAATCGATTTTATTATAAGATTATTCTGAATGGATCTGTTTTATTGCTACTGACACCTAGTTTATCGTAAGATAAAATTTTATGAGTTGTGTCCCCTTATCTCGGAATCGGTCTACATAGGTGGCCACATCGTCGCACCGGCACCAGCAAGCATCCTTCCTCTAGGCCCAAGAAGGGACACCACTAAGTTTAAACAAACATGGATCCACAAACATTTCTAGACATTGCCACTAAGGTCACAAAACTAAAGATGTATCCGTTTTTCGATATAGCACATTACACATTGATGTGCATGGCGGTGAGAGAGGATATTCCACAAACCAGTTCAGGTAAGGACAGCCATTTCAGCTTCACTCTCATTTGATACTTTTGTTAGATAAATAATTAATGTGTACGATTTTTTTCTGTGTTATAAAAAATACAGATATTTTTAATATGTTTTATTGAACTTTCACTGTATCTATAAATAGATCGGTCAGCATGCCTAAGTAAAGCCATGATGATGCCGGTGCTGAGTTGTTCTTTTCTGATTGGTGTGGAGTTTACAGTGTTAGGCCGTTCAATGCCGTTAGCAGCGAGATCATATTATCTGATCAGAAAACGAAACCAGACCATTTTAATAAAGCAACACGTTTCTCTCGTTTACCGTATCGGTGGAAATTCCGAAGGTGATGTAGAAATATTTGAAAAGGGAAACTGTTACTTTTGACTTATATCTACGCTTACTGCTGCAGTACTGTACACTACAAGGACTTGTTCACACCTAAAAACCGAACCCATATGATATGGTCCCTATCAAATTATATGGAGATCCAGTTCTATTCCTGATGGGTGATACCATTATTAGTGTTAGGTAGGGTTATAGATATAAACAGATCAGCAGCAGGTGCAGTGTTTTCGCATGTTATATTACAATAAAGACACTTGAAATGATATAAACACCAATTATCTATTAGTAACGTTTATGTCATGCCGGTGTTTTCTTTGTGATAACTGTAGTCAGACATTGTTTATTTTAGATCCTTATCAGAAGCTAACAAGTCATTAGAGCCTTACTGCTCAATCTCATTAAGACTGAGATCTTGATGGTTTTATAGATGTAATATACAACATATGTTAATCATACTAATAAGTGATTTGGTTATCATGAATAATATTTTCTTACAGAATTGTATCATCATCATCATCATCATCATCATCATCATCATCATCATCATCATCATCATCATCATCATCATCATCATCATCATCTTATTAAAATGTTTGAATGAATAAATACTTATTAGTTTTTTAATTATCAACTATAAAATTGAAGTTTAAACACTTCCTTTTACAAGTACCTTTGATTGAAGAGGCAGCAAGTTTTGGTTCCAATTTTACAGACTCAAAATATCAGTTGACCCAAGGGAGATAATTTTGACCTTGAAATTTGTTAATGCAAATATTTTCATTGTTGGTTAATAGCATGTGTACTGAGCCCTAGATTAACTGTTTAGGTTGTTTTGGGTTAATGTTAATGATGACTAAAATCTTTGTTTTTAATTTCAAAGATTGTCAGTGTAATAAGTTCCAACAGTTGCAGACTACAGAAAATGATATATATTTTTTTTTTTTTTTTTAAGTTTAAGAATTTTGGTATAAACCATGATTGACATGCTAAAGGTAACATATTGGCCGGAATCTCTGTTACAATTAATGAATGAAAGAAAAATTTAATCACTAGGACCATCGTTGCAGCATCATCATCAAGCAAATCTAGTCAAGCTGTTTGGACCATGCTGATTTATGAATGAAAAGGATTATTTACTGCAAAATTTAAATGGAATCAGATAATATAAAAACAAGATTAGAAATATTGTCTAACATCTTGAAAGGGCAGTCATAGCTCACAAATTTGAGCATTTTAGTTTTGTTCCGTGAAGCATGATTGAATTGAGACTTATGTTAATAATTTAAAAAGAAGATAGAGACTTTGAAGAAATTTACAGAATCATATACATTGCACATCTCTGAACGACAATCCTGGGTAATTAAGATAATGATGATACACATTATTTACTTGGTTAAATATATAACGTTTTATGTATTGTGTTGGTAGTGTTGATGATAAAGAAGGGAAGTATGCAGAATTGGTTAGATATGGAACATTGTTATTATTCTAATGAATAAAACATGGTAATAATGAAACATTCCATAATCAATTAATGATTACCGGTAAGTTGTAAATCAATTACATTGGAGTGATTAATAAATCATACAAATAGCTCTAACAGATTTAGAGCTCATTAGATAGGACTAAGGTCACTGGTCATATTTACTGTACTAATTTGTAAGCCTCTGTAGAATCAGTTTACAGTATTCAAACTGCATGAATACTGCTGTAAAGAGTTTTGCAGTTTACTTCTATATCATCAGTCCTGATGAAACTGCTGTGTAGTCTTTAAGATAATTTCATACAATATCCTATCCCCATTATAATGTCACCTGCCTGCTTGGATTCTAAGGAATTTGTACTTTATGTACCAACTATTATTTATAAACACAATCTTCTGGTACTGGCATTACTTTGTCAGCTAGTATCTAAGAAACCAAACATTTGCCTGGGACTGGTAAATATATCTACCTCAGAGCTCTTGTCTAGTGTACATATGTAACACTATGATCAGTTGGACCCTACAAGTGTAGTGGTATGTACCAAAACCATCTGTTGTTTATGTACATGTACAGTATAACCATGCCCGATCCTGTGGTCTCCGTGATAAATGCCTAAATAAACAGTCAATTGCTTATATAATTACCAATCATTGGGACTGATTTATATGTTTAGCTGCGGGTAACATATTAGTAAGAAGCATGCATCACAACAATGCATATATCAAGTGGAATTTCACTTATGAAATACAAATCAGTTGGCATGTGGCTGTTCCTTATCACATATTTGGAAAAATAGTTGACCCTATTTACTTTCTCAAAATACTGAATGCAAAAAAATGAAATATAAGTATAGAATGATTAATGATCTAATGATACTCTTTCAGCTTTTGTCTTGTAAAAATGGCTACAATGTCAATAGTAAAAAATGAAACAGCAGAAATACTTTTCTAGTTGCTGGTGTATTCATGCAAGCATGCACTGTAAACATTGTAATACCGGTTAAGAAATGGACCCTTCTCACTCAGTCTGCAGGGAAATTATCCATTCAGCTTAAATTGCGTAGAGTCAAACAACCAAGGCCAAGGATTTGGACTGGATCCCGGGTGGAGATCTATAAAAGATAACATTTGGTAGTTGCATAAGTTCCTTTCTTAGATAGCTGAAAAATCAGCAGATTTCATTCCTGGATAAAGTAGAGATGTACCAAAAATGTACAGATACTGTTTACATATAAATACACATATATAGCTTTTTATTGTCATTCAATAAGTAAAACAGGCCTGACAAAAAATATGATGGACAAATTTAGTGGATGGAAGTAGACCAAAGGTTTTATTTTAGCAAATCATGATGTATGATTTATATAGGAGAAATATCTTGACTTTAACAACGCTTCTTTGAAAATTGCATGAGAATGCTTTGGGTAGACACTAAATATTTGGATATGTATGAGGGCTGATTGATAAGCTGTGAGTCTCATATTTAAGGGTGTGACTTTTGGCGGACATATTGCATTATTTTTCAACATAGTTGTCAGTACCTGTATACGCTTTTGCCAGCGATGTTAAGGGCCTCAATTCTACTCTTAAAGTCCTTTTCTTGACTGTTCAGAAAGTCCTCCACTGCATGTATGACATAATTATCTGACAAATGTAGGTACTGAAAATTGCCTTTTTCGATTTTAAAAATAGATAAAAGTCTGATGGTGCAAGATCAGGCAAATAAGGCAGATGCTCAGTCAGTTCAAAGTGATAAATGTTAATGGCAGCCATATCATGGCAATAGGCTTGTGAACAGGGGCATTGTCTTGGTGGAACAACACCTTTTCCGCAGCACTTGAGTTTAATTTTTACTTTAACTGCCTGAGAAATGATGCCATTGATTGTTTGTCCTTTTTGCAAATAATCTATCATCAGAATACCATCAGCGTCCCATAACCTTTCCAGCGGATGGAATAGTCTTTGCCCTGTTTGGGAGGGTGGGGAGGGTGGGTGAGCCAGTTTGCTTTAATTGTTTAGAATGTTGTTTGGCATCTGTGGTGAAATGATGGACCCATGTTTCATCCATAGTCACAAACCTCACAAACAAATACTGCCTGATGTGTTTTTATCAACTATCAAAAGTCTTGGAACCCAATAGGCTGAGATTTTCATTGCAAGATCTGCTGTAAGAATTTAATGTACTCTTTATTGTAAAGTCCCAAATTTGGTCAGAAGCATCTTTTGGTGAAGAAAATCAATTTTGTATAGATGATGGGTCTCTGTCCCATGAGACGAGAGGGGTGGGGATGGGCCCACTAGGGGAAGTCGAACTAATTCTTTGAAAATATACTCCTCCTATAGGAATGATTAGATTTTGTCTATAGCATGTTTGGGTGAAAGGGGAATTATTTTTGTGTAAATGATGACTCTTGGCCTCCTTGGACTGGAGGGGAAGGACTTGATAGGAGAAATGTGTTATATCTTTGAAATAGTTGAGATCCTCACCCCATAACCATATGTTATAGCATTGCTAGGCATCAAGAGATAAATTCAATCATGATTTAAAAATTGGCCAAGAGTGTCCCCCTCTCTAGGGACTTAGTTTCATTTTTATGTCTTTGAAGCTGCTGAGATCCCCACCCCATAACCAATATATATAGCATGTTTGGGATCAAGAGATGAACATGATTACAATGTAAGAATTGACCCTTGGGTCTGGCCCCATCCCTTAATACATAGTTTCTAGGTTATATCCTAGAAGCAGTTGAGATCCCCAACCCATAACCATAGATAACATGCTGGGCACCAAAAGATAAACACAATCATGATGTAAGAATTGACCCTGGGTTGGCCCAACTCCTAGGGACTCACTTTCATGGTAATATTTTTGAAAGAGTTGAGATTCCTACTCCTAAACCATATATAGCAATGCTGGGCATCAGGAGAGAAACACATTCATGATGTAAGAACAGGCCCATGTTTGGATGAAATAGGAATTAGTTTTGTATAAATGATAGGTCTTTGTCCCCTTGGGCAGAAGGGAAAGGCCTCAAAAGGAAAAATATGTTATATCTTTGAAACAGTTGAAATGCCCACCCCATAACCATATATATAACTTCTTGGCATCAAGAGATAAACACATTCTTTATATAAGAATTGACTTTTGGGTTTGGCACACCTCTAGGGACATTATTTCTAGGTAATATTTTTGATGTAATTAAGATACCAACCTGATAACCATATAAACTCTTATAGGGTATCAAGAGATAAAGACAGTCATTATTTAAGAATTTACCCATTGTTTTTCCCCATCAACATGGTTTAGTGAATGCGCTTTGATTTGGAAATATTTGAAATACCCAACCTATAGGTATGTATAGCATTGCTGGACTTTAAGATCCAAATGAGGGATAGGCACTATGGACCTCTTGTTTTTGTTCATCGTCAGAAAATGATCAAATTTTCTCTCAATGCTCAAGCTACTGTATCTGATGTTATTGATAAAGTTATGGGATAATTCACATCTCAAGGGTATTGACAACTCCATGCTTACCGGTATGGAGGATCCAATACACGTGTAATTCTGCATTATAATGGCTGTTCAGTGCTTAACACTCCATCAGAAATTAAATTTCCACAGGAAATTTTATTATTAGTATGGCCTTATACAGTGGATCAATAACATAATTTATTTTACAATGTTTCTTTTGACATTTGGCCAATTTCAATAACATATTATTTTACACTGTTTAAAAAGAAACTGAAATAGATATCAATATTCTAGATTATTGAACTGTGAATGTAAATTGACATGATATCAGGTGCTTGTTATAAATATCATAAATATACAAAGTATACTAACTCTCTTTATATATATTACCTGTTGCCTTGACAGGTGAAAGCAGACAAGCAGACAGCAATTAGCTTGAGGTTTATAATAAGTGTAAAATCATGTTTTTTATAGGGCTAACTTTTTTGTTTACAGTGTATTAGAATTACCTCAGTATGTTTTTTGATCAGCTACACTTTTCTTATCTTAAACCTAGATTTGCCTGCGAATGAAAATATTCTGTGTGATTTAGCCTCTGTAGGTTTTCAAAATAAATATGAAAACTGAAACATGTTCATTTCCAAATTTTCTCATCCAGCTAATTTCGAGAAATTGCTTGATGTATATTTTGTGAAGACAACATACACTGTACATTGAAATCATGTATTAAAAACAAAAAAATAAAAAAATCTGTTTTTGGTGTTTTTCAGGGTCACCATTTTCCAGAAAACATCCTCTATCTTGTTGGCTTTCCAGTATGCTGCTTTGTTTTGGAGGTAGTATAATAGCTAATATGTTGCTAGGGGAGAGTATGTTGTCACCCTTCAAAGATCACCGAAGCATCCTTACAGCAACAGCAGTCTGGTAAGTACATACAATTCCTGTAATGCATATTCTTGATGGGTATTTTTGTATTATTGCAGTACCTAGACATTTTTTCAGTGTAAGTAACTCCTACTTATATTTGATAGGTAGTATTTTTTTAACTGACAAATGAACATGACTCAGTAAGATTGCAGTACCTGGATAATTTCCAATGGAAATATCTTATATGATGGTAGCATATCACATGATGACGTGTTTGAAACCTTGTCTTCCAGATACAACCTTACTTGTGTGTCCCCTGTTAACCATACTTTACTCTGTTTTATACCACAACACTGACAATTGATTAACATGAAGATGCATCTGGAAATTACAAAATGTATCAAATATATTTCTCTCTTGTACATATCCCCCTTTGGATACAGAGTTATAGCCCTTTATGTATTCCTACCAGACCTTGTTCAAACTTACATTGATTGATTTCAAAATACATGTAACTCGCATCGAAATAATTATTATTGTAATGATGGCATTGTTTTATCCAACTGGATTATTTGCTCAGAGTGTGAGGGAGTTGGAGGAAAGAAAGAGAGCGAGAGAGCCATAAGTGGTGTCTTTGGGAGTCTTTTGGAAAGAGAATGTTAATTGATAATCCTTTCCCCTCTAAGTAGAGAACTGTCAGACTGACATTGATACCAAAAAATCTTTCAAAGGCTATAAGTTACAGGAAGGTGTTGTTCTATCCTATGCTATGTGCTTGAAATTTGTTTTGTCTTGCCATCTGAATATAATTACTGCTTCAAGTAAGACACCTCAACACATCAGAATTGGCAAAGGTATTGATTCCAAAAGAGTGCCGCACTCATTTGTCAGGGTACAGGAGTTATAAGAACTCTGGTGGCCAACACCCAGATAAACCTGATTAAGTATGGTATCCATTCATCTTCACAGTTGAGTGTCTTCACAACTGCCTGGCTGTCAACTTAGTTTTTCTCCTCAGTTAATTAACACTTTGAGTCATAGAGATGTGATCAGAGTCATACTTGTATGGTTTTCATTATACCGATGTACATTATAATGAAATTAAAACTTAATTAATAGCAGACATATTGAAATAAATTTTCACGTTGAATATGTATGTCATTTACTCTACACAGATATGCATATATAATCTACATTGAATTTATTCACAGAAACAAAGCTGACTCAAATTGTATTGTCACGATATTGAGTCTGTTGTCTATTTTTTTTATTCTGTTGAGATTTAGAACCTCTTAACAAAAAACAGTTGTCTATGTCTACAAAGGAAAATTTATTACTACCAACAGGTACTTTACAACATAACATTATTAAGATTTTTTGTTTTGTGTTTTTAAGAATTACTACAGTATTGAAATTTGTATTGTCAATTGTAATTGCTTTAGGACGGGAAAGGAAAAATCCTTTATTCACTTAGTCATGGTGCTATCAAAATGCTGGTAAGTTTAAGGATTGTGATGATGATGGTGTTAGAAGTTAACCATGTACCAAACACTGTCTGACACACAACCTTACAGCCTAGGTTTATACACAATGTCAGTCTTACTTAGGGTTCCTGTGGCTGCATCTGGTCTTAATCATTTTACAGAAACGGAACAGGAATAAGTCTCATTTATCCCAATACTGCTTGCACAAAATAAGTATTATTTTGCCTTTTTATACTGATGTAAATTTAGATGATTGGCTTGCCTTTTTATTCCTGTTAAGAAAAGGCCAAGGGCAGAATTAATTCTCACCATCCATTCAAGAGTGTATAATGCTTTGGTTTGACTTTGCATACTCGCATATTATTTATATCTTTCACCTTAGCATAGAGTTAAAAATCCAAGGTCATAATTTATATATGTCTGGAATGGGATTATTTCACATCTTCAATTGTTCAAAAATATATGTTCAGATAGATAAAACACAATATTGACCTCATCAAAATGCTTTAATTGTAGTTTATCTGTGAATAAAAATAGAAGTTCCGAGCTGAGATACATGTTGTGGTATCTCTTATTCAATACTAAACATATGTGGTGTTATCAGAGTACAGAGGCTGCCTAATGACTGAAGTTGATGGATCAGCCAGTGGTGAACACAGTAGAAATTGCCATACTATTTCTCTTGCATGTAAAAGTAATGAAAACTTAGTACTTTGAGTTCAGTAAATCTGCTTCATATACTTTCTTTATACAATGTATATTCAACAAGTTTCCAGATGTTTGGAAACATGATGTTTTTCTTCATATGGCTCATTAGTATACATAATGTCTAGTTAGATACACCCATGATGATAGAAGCTGTGATGTGTAAGGTTCCTGCAAACTTTTCATGTAGAACTCTTGATGTAATAATATTTTTACAAGTTTTTGATGAATCTTGATTAAATGTTTGAAGTTATCAAACATGTATATATGGCACCATTAGTGGGTTACATACAGATATAATGAGCAGGCTCCAATACTACACAAGGTCTATGTACAGGAATGTTGGTTATGTTAGACAAATGGATTTGGATGTTGGTTTCCAATAAGAGAATGTCAATAAGATAATATTTTCTGTTAGCAAATATATTTATCAAGGTACACAAATGGCTCCTATCATTTGTATATTACCTCCTGTGGCCAAGCACCACTCCTAATCTAAATAGGTAAACACGAATTCCTAGTTACCTGACCTGAAGGTCTATCTGGTCATAATGATAAGCTGATTTCTTTGTCAGCTTATTGTATTGGTTTCCTTAAATCTGTGGTAAGGAAAGAACCACCTAACCCCCCCCTCTCACAAAATGATCATAGCAAAAGATCATATGAGGAATATAGTAACAGCAGAAATAAAGAAGAAAAAACCCAGCTACCTCCTATGCAGGTCTTGGATTCTAAAATTCAAATTTAAACAGAACTTATTTAAGAATGGTTAGAGAAGTCAAAGAAAATAAGAAGAAAAAAATAATGTTGTATTCAGGATCAAGGAAAATAAAGGTAGGAAAGAAAGAATGAGTCAATCATTTGCAAGATGTAGCACACTGACAACAGCAGAAATCAGCAACTTCCTGATGATTCTGAAGGAAAACCAAGAACAAACTCATAGAAGAAAACATTGTCGTTGTCCGCTATATGTAAACTTTCTATTCAAATGACTTCTTCTCAATAAAACAAAAGGCCCAGGGTGCTGATATTGGGCCTGTAGCATGATAGGGTGAAGGGTTATCAAGTTTGTTGAAGTAAATGACCTTGACTTAATTTCAAGGTAACAGTGGTCAAATGTGTTAAAATCTTCAAACAACTTCTTCTCAATAACAAAAAGGTCCAGGCTGTTGATATTGGGTTTTTAATATAAGTGGATTAAGGGCTACTGATTTGTTCAAATAATTGACCTTTTTTTATAAAAAAAAAATGGATTTTCTTTTTCTACAAGCAATAGGTTCACAATAGTGGCATTTGTGTAGTAGCATGTATAAAGAATATGATTCAAGAAAATGTTTTTATGAACCAGCAATGTCTTCTTTGTAAGCTGTAGAGTAGTTCAGCAATTTATTTTAGGCCTATGTGGCATCTTTCATATATAGGTCTTTATAGTGAAATGACCATTAAGACCAGTGGGCCTCTTGTTCTAAATACTGTTATATTGTACAAGAATTGAAGTAATATGAAAAGAATGTATGTGTGGTCTACTCTGTAGATCAGTCATTATTGGATGTGCTGTCTGTACAAGTGTGTGTTAAATATGGTGCACAATAGACCATGCCAACAAAGAATACCAGTAGATAGTAAAATACTAATTATGTATGTACTGTCTTCAAACTGCTGCACATGCATTAATGTAGTCTTTGTCTTGTGTATTGTATACTGGTATCTAGGACAAGGACTGCACACTCAAGTACTGTGTATATAACTGAGATCTATATTGTCAGCTGTACAGTAAGATGTACTGGCTAGTTGAAGGTTGTCTCTGGCACACAGAGATAAGGATGTGAAACACCTGATGTTGACACTGCCAGAGAAACAGACAGATACAAAATACAAGGTCATAACTTCCACATTAAGTAGATAGTGTACCATATAAAAGGTCATGTCAGTCACCTTGATCTCAATATATGAAAAAATATCTTGTAAAATGATGGGGAAGAGAGGGGGTTGGGGGGTTTTATTTGGTCTTTAGAAAAGAGTTAAAATGAGTTAAAATGTTTGTCCGACTATTCCTGAAATAGTTATTGTCTGCTTAAGACACACTGACTATCCTACAGTTATGTCCTTGAATCTTGAAATTTACATTATCATGTGGTTAGAGCTTTTGCTAGTTTTTGTATAGCATTGGAATTTTAAACCTCAATCAAAATCCAAGATATATAGTTTGTTGATCCCTTATAAGACAAAAGAGAAATGGACTGTCCTATACTATAGTGGTCCCCAATAATGAGAAATGGACTGTTCTATACTATAGTGGTCCCTAGTAATGAGAAATGGACTGTTCTGTACTATAGTGGTCCCTAGTAATGAGAAATGGACTGTTCTGTACTATAGTGGTCCCCAATAATGAGAAATGGACTGTTCTATACTATAGTGGTCCCTAGTAATGAGAAATGGACTGTTCTGTACTATAGTGGTCCCTAGTAATGAGAAATGGACTGTTCTGTACTATAGTGGTCCCTAGTAATGAGAAATGGACTGTTCTGTACTATAGTGGTCCCTAGTAATGAGAAATGGACTGTTCTGTACTATAGTGGTCCCTAGTAATGAGAAATGGACTGTTCTGTACTATAGTGGTCCCAAGTAATGAGAAATGGACTGTCCTATACTATAGTGGTCCCTACTAATGAGAAATGGACTGTCCTATACTATAGTGGTCCCTACTAATGAGACATGGACTGTCCTATACTATAGTGGTCCCTAGTAATGAGAAATGGACTGTCCTATACTATAGTGGTACCTAGTAAGGTATCTGAGAAATGGACTGTTCTATACTATAGTGGTCCCTAGTAATGAGAAATGGACTGTCCTATACTATAGTGGTCCCTACTAATGAGAAATGGACTGTCCTATACTATAGTGGTACCTAGTAAGGTATCTGAGAAATGGACTGTCCTATACTATAGTGGTCCCTAGTAAGGTATCTGAGAAATGGACAGTCTATACTGTAGTAATTGTGTACTTGCTTAACTAGACACTAATTGCTTTGGATGGTATACACAACAGGTCTCCAGTATGTTGTTTACTATAGTCACACTCACCAGCTCCATTTTTTGCACTACAAGCTGAACCTGTCTTAAAATGACCATATAGTTGTTGATAAACCCAGCAAACATGAAAGTGAAGTTTTTAATGTTGGTTTTATATGCTGTGTTTTAGGACTGTAGTCTTATCGTACTTTGTCAATCTGTAGGACACTGGTTCACCAATAACCCAATTACAACTGCATGAAAAAAACATTAATCCTCTTCAGTGGCAAAAGATTGACTGTGAACACCTTGAGGTGTTGTTTTTTGTCCAGATCTTTGCATCAAATTGTCAAGAACATATTTCCAGGGCATAACAATTGTTTTCTCCAGGTACGTCATAATGTACGTTGAATATCCAAGAACAACAAACAAAAAAACCCAATCTTTTCATGCTTTTGATTTTAGTGTGACCTTTGTCTAGTTGTTGTCATTTCAATCAGGCACCAGTTATGAATTCTATGGTTTATGTTAAAATATGATTATCTTCATTGTCTATTAATGGCATGGTATACAAAGTTCCTGATTAGATATTCATGTGCAAAAATTCATTGTACAAAATATACGACTGTTTCATATAGATACTTTGAGTGAGTCTGTGTAAATGTAAATTTTGTAGTGTGTATGTTGATGATAATGATTTTCTAGAATCTTCTCTTTTTGTTTCAGGTACCTTATCTTCTATTCTCCATTTGACATTGTTTACAAGATTGGACGGTTCCTCCCCTGTAAGTTAGTTGTAGCAGCACTGAAGGAATGTCAAAGAGCACACAAAGTCTACCATGCTGTCATCCATACGGCCAAGCTCTACCCCAATGCCTACTTCGTAATTATTATCATAGGAACTGTAAAAGGTAGGTATGGTCACAAAGTCTACACCTGAATTTTGAAACTATGATCAATGGTCAGGGTTAAAGAATTAAAGTTCAAATTTGACCATTCTTTAACATATTATGTCTTAGTATCCCATCATTTGATTTGTTTTTTAATGACACCATATTTAAATAACATCAAGCTTTTCACTTGCTTAGATTTTGATGGCTTTCATCAAGTTTAAAAGGGAAAAGGTCACACTTGACCACTTGTCATTGGTCATTGTTAATGGGTTAAATGATACGCCAAACCACTTTTGAAATCAAAAGAGCACGGATGCAGGTACATCTGTGAATCCCTCCTCACAGCTTTATGTTTCAATTGTTTTACCAATTGTAACACTTCTGGGATTATTTATAACATCACATTTGTTAAAGCATGTACTTACCATTGTACCTTTTTACCGTTTTTAAAAACACAGGTGCTGGAAGTGGTTTTATGAAGAACTTTGAACGGCTGGTGCGAGGTTTGTGGATCCCAGGCACCAATGAACTTTTGCAACCATCTTTGTAAGTATCAAGGATTTATAAGTGTTTTCCAGTGTTTACCCCTTTTCTTTTTTGTGTTCTGTAAATAAAATCTGTTTCGATATAAAGAGATTGTAAAATATCCATAAGCTGTCACCATGATTTAAGCATACAAAGCTTGTAACATTGGTTTATAGAAAGTGATACAATCTGTAATCACGATAAATGTTTACAGTGTATCAGAGTTTAATCCAGTGTGTAAAAGAAATGATAATTCAAGGTTTCAATCCAACTTTTCGTATATTTTACTGATTTTATTTTGCATTTCAAAATATTTTTTATACTAGATTCTTGTCAGATAATTATATTTGTTTTAAATTGTATTCGTGACATTAGATTCAAGATGATACGAACATAAAATTGTAATTTCTGTTAAATTAAAGGATAAATGTAAAATGTAAAGCAGTCCAACTACATGATTGTACAATTCAAAGGACTCATACCTCACACAAGAATCTGCACTCTTTTTAACCTGGACAAAAATCAGCTGATTGTAACAATGACTATTGATCTAACATCCCACTGTTTCAGCCTGTAGATAATGATGTAGACTATTTACAACTAGCACTGTCATTTACTCCCTAATCTTTTCTTGTCTCCAAGTAATCAATGGAAATATAATTTGTTAGAGTTAATAAAGAGAACCACAGCAGACCACTTTAGTTGTATATAAAAATAAACACTCAAAGTCTTTGGAAGGTAAAACTTCTTGATAGTTGCTCTGTAATAATCTACTTAATAAAGAATATTACCGTTGTTCTTCCTCAACCAAAAACGCCTATTATTCCTGACCTGGCAAGGGTTCCTTTTTTTTTAGTTCATGAAACTCTAGGTTATCTTTATTAACTTTATGGGGTGTGTGGATGGTACTGTAAAATACATTCCCCAACAAAAATTAATGATTTTACAGGGCATGAAGTGTTATCCATAATGTCCCATCCTGTTCCAGCAGGTCATATCACATCACATTTTTAATTGATGTCCATATTCCTAATATCTTTGATTTTCAGGAATTTACAACAAACATTGTACAAAGGTCAACAATGACAGTTAATCAGAAATCATGCTTCAGAATTTGAATGCAAAGACAAAGTTCATACATTGTTATTGGAATACCATTAGTCTCCTTTCTATTGATAGGAATTTCTTAAATAATGTAATTGAATCTGACGTGGGTATTCTTGTCTTACAGACATTTTCTAGTTTTAAATTTTATCATGTTGAGGTGTAAATCAAATATATTTTTATGAATTGGTGTCAATTATATATTTTTTCAGCGTTACCAAAGCTTGTATTGTGGCATCATGTGTATTCTTGCTTGAGCGACTCAACTACATCACTGCACCTCATCCTCTTATCTACTTCGGCATCGTCATCTTCTTTGTGTACTTCAAACTGTCAGCCCTGCTCTTAGGCATTCACGATCCATTTGCACCATTTGAGAACCTCTTCTGTGCTATATTTATGGGAGGTATGTGGGATGCCATGAGGAGAGCAGTCACACCAGAGAAGAAGGAGGAAGACAAAGAAAATAAGAATGACATACCAGTCAAGAGTAAAGAGGACAAGAAAAAGGATTAAACTCTCTGGCTAAAAATGATGAATATAAGAGTATCAATTGAATTTTTTATAGCTTATGAGGAAATGATTTTCTAAAATAAGATTTTGTGTGTAAAAAAGGGCCTGCAAAAGGGAATTAATCAATTGATACGGGGGAAAGTTGAGGACTACATACTGTATTTTGTTAAATGCAGTGTACTGTCTTTAGGTAATTTGTCATACCTTTCTTATCTGTGAATTTTTTTATCAATATCCTTGCATTTATTTTCCACAAGGATGGTCACAGATTGAGAAGAAATACAGCATTAGTGTCAGAGATAGAAAGGTTCCCTCACAAGTACTCCCTTTTGTGACGAAGGATTTTTTTTAGAAGCATATGTCATGAATAATGGTTGTCAGTATTTATACATTCTTTTGATAGAAGACATGAATTATCTAGTTGCATCATTTATGTTAATAAGAATAGACATATTCTAGCACCACCTTTTTTTTGGTGGAATTGAAAGTTTGATGTGATCATTCTTTTTGCATAAATTAATCTTTATTCTTAAGTCTGAATTTTAATTTTAGTGAACATATTATATGAAAACAAATAGATCTAAAGAACTATTTTATTATTCTTAAAACTAAAGAGCATTAATGAGTTCTTTAATTTGCAAAAATCAAAAGTTATTATTTGTATATATGTTGGTACATGTGCCACACATCAGATCTGCCATTGTTATAGAAAGGGTGTAACTATTGATCAACTCAATTATCAAATAGATATATTTTTTATAAGCCAACCATCAAAGATCACAATTAACTACTCTCCACAACTTGTTTATAAAACCAAGAGGTAGGATTATAATGTATAATTAAAATTATCAAGCTATTCAGCATAAGCAAGTCCTCAAGACAATATCAATATCATCTTTATATTATGAACAAGATCTGAGGCTATTCTTTGTTCAATGAATATAATCTGAGGCAATTATACCTGAAATTCTTTGACTTCGATTCCTATGTCAAATGTCAAAAAAAAATTTCAATCATATTCTCAAATTTGGAGAATATTATACCTACATCAGGATCAAAGGCTACATGTACCCTGGTATATATGTCAATTATTATAGGTGACTTTTCAATCCATACTGTTTACTCCCAGATATCGCAAAATATATTAGTCATTAAACATTCCCATAGATCCCACAGCTTAACCTTCACCTTGTCTCATGTAGACAAAGTTGGGTGTAATGTGTCGCAAGAATTTGTATATTCTAACAATCTGATAAAATTGACATGATTGTCAAATTATAAAGCAGTAATTTTAGGCTGCAGGATAGGATTTTTCATTAGATTTCACTAATGTAATATCATGCTACCTATCAAAGTTGATTCTAAAATGGGTACTAGATAGTAATCCATTAAAAATACATCTATACCAGAGATTGGTAGAGCTTATGGCTTCTCTATTTTACAAGTTGAAATGGTGTGTGTCATTCTGAAGTTGTGGACATGCGAAGTCCAGCATCAACATTTAGATTCTGTTTTATTTGAGAATAGATTACAAAAATCAGTCAACATCAATTTAATATACATGTATTTGGATAAAAGTTACTTCATGTATATCTAAATTTTTTGTAAAGGGTTACTGAGGTATTTACATTTCAAAAGATATTATTGAATTTGTTTGTCAGAATTTGTTCAGCATGTTTTGAATCAGTCATATTCTTTATTTCATAAATTCTTTTGAAATGATATATAGTACTGTCATCAGTTGTTACAGTGTATAGTTGGTGAGTATGTCTGATGTACATGTTTTTCTGATGTATACAATCAATATTGTGTGAATGTTAGTAAATGAGGATGTAATATGAATGTTTTTTAATGTCAAATGTGCCATCCTCAATTCTTGTACTTTACTGCCTTCAGGCCCTAGTATCATACAACTGTCTCTGAATTTTTTTTTCTTCAAATGTTTCAGGCTTATATATTCTGGAATTTCATCTGTTGCTTATGGCCAAAAGCTCATAGATAATACATTTCAGATCTTTATATTAGTACATCTTTGCATAAAAACAACCTTTAAATTAGGAAATGTGGTTTAAGAATTAAAATCAAAGAAACATTTTCAGGGCCTGATCCAAGCAGAAAGTAGGGATTGGTTAACTCTACAGCCTTAATTAATGGCTAGATTTTATTTGTGTCATAGAAACTAGGAAAAGTGCTTTTGGTCATCAGACATACACATGTAGTTGTGTCATTTAGTTTGTGTGAAACACAGACTCAACTTTTCAGAATGAAGTTTGTGCATTTTATGTGAGTCTCTTTTTTTGTACTTTTGCATCCATGTAAATTTTCATCTAGTGTAAAGGATTATATAGTTATTGTTTTTCTTGCTGTGAACATTGGTTTACATCTATAATCATTTGAAAGAAATGATATTCTTTGCAAATTTCCTCCAAAAAATTTGTGCAATTTTGTTTGTTTTATAAAATTGTGGCAATATATTTTGTATGTTTGGGTTAATTCCTAGAATCTAGTCAGTGATGATTTTCAAAACGTTTTGAAAAAAATTTCTTTTCAGTATGCATATAGAAGTGAATAATCATCTGTGAAAAACTTTTAAAATATAAAAGAAGTGAAATGCTTAATACTCCAAGAACTTTAATTGACTAAATAGAGCTGTAATAAATCCAACCAAGGTTATTTAATATTGTGTTCCAGTATACAGCCTTATTTTCTTTGTATTTGTTTATCAACAAGTTTATGAGTATTCAGAAAATTGCATACTTTATCATAATTGGGTATGATATAAAAATGTTATATCTAAGTCATGTCATAAGATGGAATTTTTTATTTCGCCGGTGCCTTTTGTCTATGATTATTTAGTTCGTCATGAGCTGATAAGAAATTTGCCATAAACTTTTGAGAACTCTATTTTATGTTGACCATGGCTGAAGACCATGTGATGTTGACCATAGTTTATGACCCGATATGTGATGTTGGCCATAGTTAATGAACTTATGTGGTGTTGACCATGGTTGATGACCCTTTGTGGTGTTGACCATGGTTGATGACCCTATGTGCTGTTGACCATGGTTGATGACCCTATGTGGTGTTGACAATGGTTGATGACCCTATGTGGTGTTGACAATGGTTGATGACCCTATGTGGTGTTGACCATGGTTGATGAACTTATGTGGTGTTGACCATAGTTGATGACCCTATGTGGTTTTGACAATGGTTGATGACCCTATGTGGTTTTGACAATGGTTGATGACCCTATATGTGATGTTGACCCTGCTTGATGCCCCTATGTGGTGTTGACCATGGTTGATGTCCCTATGTGGTGTTGACCACGGTTGACGACCGTCTGTGTGGTTGACCATGGTTGATGACCCTATGTGGTGTTGACCATGATTGACGACCGTCTATGTCTGGTTGACCATGGTTGATGACCCTATGTGTGGTTGACCATTGTTGATGACCCTATGTCTGGTTGACCATGGTTGATGACCCTATGTGTGGTTGACCATGGTTGATGACCCTATGTATGGTTGACCCTGCTTGATGACCCTATGTGTGGTTGACCATTGTTGATGACCCTATGTATGGTTGACCATGGTTGATGACCCTATGCAGTGTTAATAGTTTATCACTGATAGTGGTCATTAGCTTCTGAACCTATGAAATTTGATATACATAGCATCAATCCTATGTAATGTTTATTTCAGTAGATGACCATTGTGTAGTTGATTGTTACTTGTAGGTTGTAATACTGTCTTGTATATTGACTGTCTTCAATCCTGACTGCATGTGTATACCAGAGTAAATAATTAGACTGAAAAAGAGGTGTGTCTATTTTCCCTGATGGTCAAGTTTATTCTGGAAAGTTTGTTGTGTACATCATGAAATTCCTTTCAATAAACAAGATAAAAAAAATGTAGATTTACTTTTTTGTTTTATTTTGTTTTCATTCTTTTGAGATGTTTGAATTTTTTTGGAACCAGCATGATGTTTTACATGTATCGGCTTTATATAATTTCTGTTTATTGTCAAAATGTACACGGGAATTTTGTGTTGCTGTTGTTTCTTTTTTTCCTGTTGCTGAAATTTTGAGGAAAACCATGAAAAATGACATTGTGATTTTCTTTGAACAAAGTAACAAAAAAACAACATCTGTAGACCACGAACACCTGTCAATGAATATTTAGGTTTTTTTTTTTTGTTTTTCTTGAAATTTTGAGGAAAAAGATAAAAGTGGTATTGTGATTTTCTTTAAAAAAAACAACAACAACATACAAAACTACATCATCTACAGACCACAAGCACCTATCAAACCCAAAGACTTGGAACGGTACACATGGAATGCTGATGCAAGGGAGGTAACCCTGAGTGACTGCTGCTTACTTATATATATATATCTTGTTACCTCAACAGAATGCCTAAGAAAAGATAGTGAGGATTATGCCTACCAAGTTTCACCAACTTTTTCACATTTAAAGAAATAATGTTAACAGAGTTTCAAGACTTTATCCATGATTGCTGGATATTCATTTCTTCATTCTTACTTTGATCTAAATTTAACAACATTTATATAATATTATGAATTTGACTGTTTTCCATGTTTATCAACAATTTCTGTAAATCCTGAAACAGTTTTTTTCCTATAAAAGTTGCTGCCTGATTCTCTGTTGGAGCAAAAAAAAAAACTTGAGCAATTTATTCAGTTGAGAAAATACATTCACCAAAGCATAAAATGTCATGCCTTATAAAAGTCTTTCTCCTTGTTTCTTCCAGTATCCACTAAATCATCTTAATAAGCAAACAAAGTTATCTAGCATTTAGTTGTGAATACTGAATGATTTAATCTTGTTTGAATCAAGTGGTTATATTTTCCTAAATCTTCATGTCGTAACAGGATAACTTAAAATGCTGTAGTTTTGCCATAGCATTCATGACTGATTGAAAAATATTAGTGTTTAAAAAAGAATATTCAAATTGCCCTGCGACTGAACTCTGTGTCTTCAGTCCTGCAACAATTGTTTTTTTTTTTAACTATTTCTTTCTCAACTTTCTTTTGAATGTTTCCCAATTCCCTCCTGAAGACCTTGAGACTGATCAGAAAAACAAAATGAATGACATGCGACCATCTTTGATTTTAACAATGAAAGTTTGTTATTGCTTTACTTCTAGAGGACTGTTGAATGACTGTCGTGTTAAATCACATCTGTAGGTTCCCCTTTGTCCATACTGATACCCTTTCAAGACTAATCAAATAACGATCATGGCTGTTAATGAAAGTTTGTTATTGCTATTTCTTGTGAAGAATTGGATTATTTCCAAATTTCATATGTAGACTCCCTATTCCAAATTTGGGGTTGTATGATTGGATAAAACATAATGGCTGAGAGATGGCCATGTTTGGTTCCAACAGTTTTAGTTTGTAATCGGTATTTCTTTAAATACTAAATTGTATATCCATATCCTAAATTTCCTTGCTGTATGTTTATCAAAAGTACACCGGTTTTTTTTGGTATTTTGATTATCTTCGTAGTGTAAAAAAAATAAGAAATGATTAATATTAATCTTTGACTAAATTGAGTGAAACTTTCTATCTATTGATAGAAATTATAGCACAAAAATTTAATTCCACCTCCATGATATTTGTTGGTGACTGTCAAAGAAAGCAGATGATTAGTGATCAATCCAAAGGTTCTTGTCCCCATAGCCTCATAATTAACAGCATACAGATGGGTTTAATTTGATAATATTATCCATTTGAGATAGGTTATTAGATTAAAGACTGTTGAACAAAGCAAGGTAAAATTTGATGGAGAAGGGAGATAATCCAAAAAGTATTGTATAGACAGTAAGTGATCCTGGTAGTGATTGTTTGATAATTTTTACAGTATGACATTTTACTTTTACTTATTTGTATAACTCGTTTATTTTTAAATATAGATAGGTTCAATTGATATAATATGATCCATTTCAGATAGGTTATTAAAGATCAAAGCAAAAACAAAAACAAAAAAAACTAAACAAACAAAAAAAAAAGAGAAAAAAAAAACCACACAAAAAAAAAAAAATAATAGTCTTCTTTCGTTCGTAGGATGAGGCTTTCCAGGGGTATGTAGGTTCTCACTAGATGTTCTTTGTCTATGTAACAGAGGTCATTATTGATTTCAATGCTTCAGATAGGGTTCAAACCAAGGACCTCTGGCTTGCAGGTCTGAAGCACCACCTATCAAGCTAAAGGGAAGTTCTCTCTAGTGAAGTGGTTAATTGCAGCCAGTATTTACCAGGGTTACATACTCCCCATCCAGTAAATAACTTGTCCTCGAGATTCCAGGGGTGAAAGTAAAGCTACATATTATTCCTGAGTCCCTACATGAGCGCCGGTGTAACAGGTAGTAATCTATTTCAATGCTTCTGCTAAGGTTTTCTAGCCCGATGCTCAACTGATTGAGCTAAAGAGAAGTTCTCTCTAGCCACACAATATACTGCGACTAGTATTTTACCAGGGTTTACATCAACTTGAACACTAGATTTGTAGCACGGAAATATCTTAATAGGGGGTGTATTGAGAAAATCGTTTGTCTGTAGTTATCTTTAACCTAAACAGATTCATTGTAATGCTTTAATTGAAGGAATATTGGTATATATTTACAAAACTCAAATTTTAAAGATTCTTTTAATAAATTCCTAATAATAGAGAAAAAAAAAGTTTTGAATTGATATTAAATTTTGTGGTAAACCTGCATGTTTAAATAATTTATCAAAATACACATTAATAGCACATTTAGAATAAGGTACAGTACAGTAGGATCAAACTGTACCACAAAGTGTATTGATTATATCGGTGAGACTAGTTGTTTGAAATACGTGTTAATTTCCATGGTTATCTCCCTTTACTCGCAGCCGCGAGGGGCGCACCTTGCTGCTGAGCATTGCTTCGATTGATATCTTCTGAGATCGAACTGCGGATGTCAGCGCGTCTTAAAGAGGATAACAACAGTCGATCTTAAGGCACTAAGGGTAATTAAGTTTTTGTTATCAATTTTGTTGATTTTCACTTTCAGTAGTTTTCCAAACTGTTGATCACTTGAAATTGTTGGTGACTAGCAGCACATAGGTATATGATGATTGGAGTAATGTAAACATCGTCCAATATCGATATCCACTCGGCAGGTAGCTTCACGACATTTCGTAACTAGGCCTTTAACTAGGTAAGTAAGTCAAGAAATGATGATTCTTCAATTATGGAATCAGTGATTGAAAAAAAAGACTTTGTTTGAAATCCGAGGCTTCAAGCAAGCGTCCTTTAACCCATTCATTATTTGAAACAATAGATCTACTAGTGCCTAACATCTAAGTGAAATGAATAAGAAATTCAGTCAGATATAGTGAGAGAAACTTAGAAACCCTCCTATGTTCGTAGGTTATCATAAATAGATGTAATAATACTAAAAAATTGCTTTACCAGCAGACTTAATCCCTCATTAAATATCCTAAGTTAGGACCTAACTGTTATGGTAGGGCCTACAAACCTGTCATCACTTAAGTGTAATAGGGACCATACACAATATCATATATGCTAGGGCTCAAACTAGCAACCATATATCTTGAGCTGGACACTCCACTGCTTGACTGAAAAAGGAAATTCAGTGCCAGTTCTAGTTTGGTACCACAACTGGTCTGTACAAGTCAATTCATACCATATATAAGTTATTTTGTATCAGAAACGAATGTTGGTGTGTACCATTATTTCGGTTGTTGTGTACTACGAAATAAATAATTTTGTACCACATGATGTATCTATTTTAAAATTTCATGTTTGGATATATAACAGAATAAAACAGTGGTGGGAAAACCATCCTATCTTCCTTATCTGTGAAGGTACTGATCTACTGATTATATCTCATAAATTTGGAGAAAATGCTGAACAATTCTTTGCTCATAGTAAATGTTGATTGGTAAATATTTCTTACGGTTTTGTGAGTTGAAAATACAAGGCAATTTTTTTCCAATGCACAGATACCAAATATCTAAAATCTTATGCATGTACACAGTGGATCTATATTAATACAGAAGCGGTTGAAATTCACTTTTTGTAAACATGCCTCCATGTAAAATTGTTGCCAAATCAAAGTGAGAAAATACTTGAGACATTTCTGTGAGATGACACATTAACAGTTTAATGTATGTCCAATTCAGACTACACAGGGAGCCCTTAAATCATTATACAACTACATTCTTCCTGTGATATGATGTTGGCAAAACATGCAGCACTTGTGATATCACTCTATACATGTAAACGCACCTACTCCATATGTACTATGAACATTTTTTTTTGTGAGGGCTTTCTGATGTTTGTGTAACATCAACTAGTGGGGGACCAAAGCTCAGCCAACGCTTTATGGGATTTTGTTGTAATTCTAAACCAATAAGCTTCAGCTGTCGATCATACAATTTTTTCAAAAATAAACATTCATTTTTGTAAATATCACTAAAAACAACATTCAATATATAAAGTTGACTTTATTGATTTATTTAACAGGCTTAATGTCCACTATTCCAGCCTTTTGCCCATTCAACATTTCAGGAGATGCGATAAATTTGACCATCATTTTATTATGCATATAAAACCACGTCTGTACTCAACTTGCACTAGTTAATACATATTAACTCATTAATATAGGTGTTTCATGCTTGCTCATTATAAGGTCCAAACTTGTAGTAAAGAGGAGACGCTTATGAATAAATTTGTGAACTTGGGGAAGAAGCTGGAAAAATAAAAAAAAAAATAACAGAATCATGCATCCTATTTATGTAAATAGTTATATATTCTAGCCACAACATTCAGCAATTTTCGTAACATTAGTACCAGTGTAGGACATGATTGTTGTGCATAAGATGATGATGACACCACAGAAGTAGATA